TGAACCAAAGCAAACCTCCCATAGTGACAATTTAGACTTTCCTAGAGACGAAGAGGAACATTTCATGAGCATTAAAGGCCCATTCGTCAGGTGCACATAACACTTCCAAATTTACGTGTACACAAACACACGGACCTCGGACAGAAGCAAAGCCAAATCACAAACCTGAGAGGAGACTAGGTGAAGTCATGATTACGTGGGAAATTTTAACACATCTCTGAGAGACTGAGCAGGCACACGCGTGCGTGCACGCGCGCACACACACACACGTGGGCGCCCACACGGACATACACCCAGGCAAGATAAAAGACATCGCACCTGCCACATTGTTTTCCGACGGACCCAGAATGCTTCACAAGGCTGTGTGCTGGGTCATAAGGCAAGTCCCAATACATTTTAATTTAATTTTTAAAATTGATTAATTAATTCATTAGTTTGTTTATTTAAGAGCAAGTCCAAGCGGGGGGCGGGGGGAGAAGCAGAGGGAGAGGGAGAGAGGATCCCGAGCAGACTGAGCACTGAGCCCAGAGCTGGTCTCAGGGTTCCGTCCCACGGCCACGAGATCAGGAGCTGAGCCCAAACCGAAAGTCTGGTGCTGAACCGACCAAGTCACCCAGGAGCCTCAGCAAGACCCAAAACATTTTAAAGGGAGGGCTGAAATCACGTAGACTGTGTTCCCTGACTATTGTGAAATTGAGCTAGAAGTCAAGAACAGAAAAGATAATTTTAAAATTCCCCAATTTTGGGATATTGAGCAAGAGATTTCTTAAAAAAAAAAAACTCATGGATCAAGGAAAACCATCACAATGGCTATTTGGATACATGTTCAAGTGAGGGGATGGGGTCAAGGAGAGGGAGAGACGGAGCAGAGGGGCAGAGAGAGAACAGAAGGACACCCTGACAGGCAGTACAGACTTTGGAAAAGATCCTAAGGGAAGTTTCGCTTTTTTTTTTTTAAGACTTTATATTTATTTATTTGACAGAGATCACAAGTAGGCAGAGAGGCAGGCAGAGAGAGAGGAGGAAGCAGGCTCCCCAGTCAGCAGAGAGCCTGATGCGGGGCTCAATCCCAGGACCCCGAGATCATGACCTGAGCTGAAGGCAGAGGCTTTAACCCACTGAGCCACCCTGGCGCCCCGAGAAGTTTTGCTTTAAAAAAAAAAAAGATTTATTTGTCAGAGACAGAGATAACATAAGAAGGGGGAGCAGCAGGCAGAAGGAGACGGTGAGGCAGTCTCCCCCCTGAGCAGGAAGCCCAACTCGGGGCTGATCCCAGGATCCTACACTGAGACGCTTAACTGAGTGAGCCACCCAGGTGCCCCCAGAGGTCCCACTTTGAGCTAGGATTTAGAAAGCTGTGAATGACCATGTGCTGCCACGTAACAGTGAAACAGTTCGGGGCAGTTCTGAGATGGGGGGGTGGGTGCTGGAAGCATACACATTGGTAAGGTCCTTCTCTACACCAAAGAATACAACATTAAGAACACAAAATTAGGTGGAAAAGCAAATCACTATTTAGAATGAGGGAAAAAACCCTATGACAAATGATAAACAATTCTATATGACATCTAAGTATCCAGGAAAAAATTTATACTAATCAAAGGCTGGACATCGCCCTAGAACACCTTTTCCCACATACTTTAGCTACATATTCCTTGTTTGCCTTCTCATGCAACAATAATTTTTATTAAACATTTTTTTGGGGGGCACCTGAGTGGCTCAGTTGGTTAAGCGACTGCCTTCAGCTCAGGTCATGATCCCGGAGTCCCAGGATTGAGTCCCACATCTGGCTCCAGCTCCAAGGGGAGTTTGCTTCTCCCTCTGACCTTCCCCCTCTCATGCTCTCTCTCGCTCTCTCTCAAATAATAAAATCTTTAAAAAAAAAAATAAAAATTGTTTTCGGGGCACCTGAGTGGCTCAGCCAATTAGATGTCCGCCTTCAGCTCAGGTCATGATCCAGGGTCCTGGGATCGAGCCCAGCATCCCAACATCAGCCTCTCTGTGCTGCGGGAAGTTTGCTTCTCCTCTCCCACTGCTGCTCCCCTGCTTGTGCTCTCTCTGTGTCAAATAAATAAAAAAATCTTTAAAAACTTTCTTTTTGGTAGTTATTTTAAGTAAGCTCCATGCCTGACTTGGAGCTGGAACTCACGACCCCAAGACCAAGAGGCGCACGCTCTTCTGACTGAGCAAGCAGGCGCCCGACAATCTGTTAACGTTTTCTGCAGAGCATGGAAAGTCTGGCTGATCAAAATCCGACTTCTGTTACTGCTGGTTAGAACACCTTTTTTTCAGCTTTGCAACTTGGAACAGAGAACGCTGTAGCAAACAGAGGTCAGATACGCTGGAGAGCGTAGAACGCGCTACTCTGCACCCAGACATGCTGGCTCCCCATAGTACCTCTACAGAGTCGAGCCCTACACAGAATTCCCGAAATTCTATTTTGTGCGATTCCCATTAAAACCAAACAGAAATGTATGTCACATTTGTACTTGTTCAGTCTGCGTTATCACCTCTTGACAGAGAGCTTCCATTGCAAGGGTTGACAAGAACCACGTTCTCCGCGTGCCATTACGGTGGAGTGTGTGTTCCTGGAAGTCATTCCCACGCAGGACGGCCAGCAACAGCCCGGCTGTGGGCCACACACGTATTCCATGTAATCCAAACCCAACGGACTCCCGGCTGGACTTCCCCTTCGTCAAGTCCCTTAAATGCCTGTGACCCCTTTGATGCCTCCCAACACGAGGGCAGGTGCGATCGAGGGCAGGCCAGGTAGGTAATTGTGGTCAAAACGTCTTACTTCTAAAAACTTTTATAAAAGCGTATGCCGGTGTGAACACAATGGTAAGGCACCTCCCAGAGGCACCTGCAGTCGAGGAGCCCTGGCGTTTAAATTTTATTAGCCTCACTGCAAATTTACCTCCGCCTGGCGCGCATCTGAGAATATTTAACTTGGCAACGTAAACGCTGTTCGTGAAGCAACTTCGAAGCTCCCTCCTGCGTGCATTTCGTCTAGTTCTGCTCTGGGATGCCGAGCTGACCAGGAAGGCCAGTGTTCGGGACAACCGTTCGCCCCACTTGCAGCTAAAAGGAAAACGGAAGCCCCTGGGCGAGCTCCAAGGCTCCATCACTTGGGAGCGATTGGACTCGCGGGAGGATTTCCGGACCTGCGCATGCGTGCAAGTGGGTCGGAGAAGAGGCGTGGCCTCCCTGCGGCCGGACCAGACCGGAAGCAGGCTGCTGACCCCTCCCCCGCACCCCCAGCGCAGGACTGTCTGGAGGCTCCGTTTCCCGCGCCCCCTGCGCATCTCTCCTCCTTCGGCGGCTCCTTCCCCTTCTTCCAGGTGTCACGGGCACCAGTGACCACCAGGTGGCGGTGTTGCCCGAGAGAACGCTCTGCTGCCACCTGGTGGCCCAAAGTGAACACTACTGTCCACTTCGAAGGGTGCGGGGACGACTTAGTACTGGCTGAGGAACTGGAAACACCTACTGTGACCTACTGCGTGCTTCCCAGACTGACCCAGGGGCCCAGAAAGCAATGTTCAGATTCTGGGGCCCAAAGAAAACATTTCCCAGGGGCGCCCGGGGGGGGCTCAGTCGGTGAAGCCTCTGCCTTCTGCTCCGGTCACGACCCCAGGGTCCTGGGACGCAGCCCCAGGTCGGGCTCCCTGCTCAGCGGGGAGCCTGCTCCTCCGCCCCGCCCCTCCCCCTGCTCGCGCGCCGTCCGTCTCCGTCCAGTGAGCAGGTAAGATGTTTGGAGCAAACAAGAAACGCCTTCCAAAGCCCTCCTCGCCTCCCCCGCAGTGCCCCCGCCGGGACAGGACTGACCCACGCGCACCGCACGCCCCGGGCTCTGCCGGGACACGCCGGTCTGTCGGCTGACCACGCGGACCTGCGCTGAGAGTCCCCGTCCCGAAGACCGAGCTCGCTGCGCACGGCGCGGGGACAAGCGGACGCGCGACATCCGAGGTGCCATCACGGAGGGCACGACACACTCCGGAGACCCACGCGGCCTCACGCACGGAGCCTCCTCCAGGTGCCGCCGGAGAGGCCGTCCGGGGCTGCCCGGAGCTCGCGGCTCGCGCGCCGGCTGCCGCCGGTGACCGCTCGCGGTGCCGCCACGGGGACGGCCTTTCCTCGGAAAACCCCCTCGACGGCCCGTGCGGCCGCCGACCCCGACACGCGCCCGGGGCCAATAGGCCCCTCCTTCCATTCCGAGGTCCTCTGGGAAGCCTGGTCCCCTCGCTCCCCCGGTCTCCGTCAGCCGAAGCTGCTTCTCCCCGTCCTCTCGGCCCCGGCCCCTCGAGGCCTCGCGGCGGGTCTGCCCCTGCCCCGGCCGCCCGCACCCCGAGCCCCGCGGCCGAGGCGCTTCGGGGACTTCCGTGCGTGCAGGTGCGGCGCGCACTCCCACACCCGACCCTCCACGCGCCGCCGGAGGCCCGGTCCCCGAGCGGCCGCCGGAGCACGTCAGAGACCCACGGAGACCCCGCGGCCCACCTCGGCCGGAAATCTACCCAGAGCCGCGGACGGTCCCACGCCGGAAGTGTGCCTCGAGCCCGCCCCCGAGTCTTCATTGGAAGGAGACATAGGAACGGGTGGGAACCCGGCCCGGTTGTGCTTCCTCATTGGCTGAAATCGATGAGCGGGCGAGAAGGGGCGGAAGCAGGCTTCCTCGAGTCGCTTCATCGGCCCTCGGGTTCTCATTGGCTGAAATCGAGAGTTGCGCGGTGTCTCTCAGTCCTCCCTGTCCTTCGCGGGTTGCTAGCGGCGACAAGCCCTTGCCCCGCCCCTCGGGGGGGTGCCCTCTTTTTTTTAAACCCCAAATTGAGGACCAGGCGATCCTTCACCCCGAAGCCTGGGGGTCTGGACTTGGCCTTTGCTTTCAGAGGCCTCGAGTCTGCCGGAGCCCTGGGATGTAGAGAGACTGGAGCGGCGAGGGGACCCGGAACGATTCTTTCGCGGAACCATTGCGGCGAGGCCCCTCAGAGCGCGCGTAGGGGCGGACCGCGGCGGGCGGGGCCAGACGGGCAGGGATGGCGGCGACGGCGACGGGGGCGGCCGACGCGGGGCCGGGGATCGCGGTCCCCGTGGAGCTGCGGCGCGAGCGGCGTATGGTGTGCGTGGAGTACCCAGGCGTGGTGCGCGACGTGTCCAAGATGCTGCGGACGCTGGGCGGCGAGGAGGGCGTTTCCCGGGTGAGAAGTGGGACTGGGGGGGAGTGGCCGGGACCGCGGGTGCGACCCAGTCTGGGACCTCGGCCGGCGGGGCGGGAGCATCCGGGGCAGGGTGGGCTCCTTGGCAGCGGAAGTCGGGGCGGGCGCCGGGGCAGCGGGTGGGCGGGGACTGGCGTCCCGCGCGCCGGGCAGGACCGCTTTTCCTGGGGAGCCGCGGGAACGGGCTGCGGTGGAGACGCGGGAGGGCGGGGGGTCCTTTCCGTCCCCTCCTCCCGGGGTGCGGGGACACGCTGGGCTGCCGCTGCTTCATTCACCGCGAAGGCCCAGGCGCGGGGCATTGAGGCAGGGAGCCCCAGCGGCGCCCCGTCCCAGGACCGCGGGGACCGTGGCCTGCGCAGCCCCGACCGGCTAATTCCAACGTGGAATTACGTTTTCACACGTGTTGTCTGTCTTGGCCGCTCGGCTCCGGGGCTGTGACCTGCAGGAGGGCGGAGCCTGCGGTCGCTCCCGCCGTCGTGCCTTCTTCCCGAAGTCGTCCGGTGCGTGACGGGATCCTCGGGCAGCCCAGCGGGTTAGGTCCCGTAGCCCCTTTTCCCGGTGAAGACTCGGGGAGGAAGAGTCGGGTCAGACACTGCGGCGGGCGCGGTGGGGGCTTGAGCTCACGCGTGTCTCCGCCCGAAGTCTATACTCTGGCTGCGCTTCCTCCGGCTTCGTGAATGGGGGAAGCCCGCGTGCAGCACCGAACGCCACAGGGGCCCGGTTAGCCGCGTGTTGTTCTTTCGTCCCGGCTTACTTCACCGTGGCACCCCAGGGCCCCCGCTCTCACGAGCCCCAGGGGTGTCTGTAGCCAACTGCAGCGTGAGCCTTTTGGAAGAGACCCGCCGCTGATTCGCCCCTTCCGTGCCGCGGGTGCGGCTTCTCTGCCCGCCCGCAGCGGGGGCTGTCCCCAGCCTCACAGTCTCACTGATCCTGTCTTGTGAGAGGGGATTCCTGAAGGTCGGGGCTCCTAACCTGCTTTCCCCCTCCGTGGTTCCTGAGCACCTCCTAGGGACCAGGCTGCTGTCAGTGCTGGGGACCAGCAAGGTGGGAGGCAGATACTCTTGGGTCAGTGAGCATTGCTGGGGCTTTCGTGGCCACACAGCTGACCCTTACTGTGTCCCTCCTGCCGTGTGCCGGGCAAGCTCTCGTGGGTGGGCGACCCGCGTAGAGTGTTCACCATGAGCTGGACACCAGACTAAGCGTGTCGCCTGTTCCGTGGTTCAGCGATTCATTTAGTCGTCGTTGCAGTCCTGTGAGTAGGTGCTGTTCGTATCTCCGTTTTAAGGAGAAGGAACAAGTCTCGGAAAGGACAGATGACAGCTAGGCAGAGCCAAAGTGCTTCCTACTAGTTGATTTCCTTTCCTTTGGACCTGGAAACGTTTGCTGGTGAGACTGATAGGAAGACCGTGTGGGGCAGGTAGTACCTGGGGGAGGAAGGTCAAGACAAGCCACCCCGCCCTGCCAGCCTCGGTTCCTCCGTGGTAGACTTGATTCCCTGCACTGAACAGGCCCTTGCGGTGGGGGGGCTCTACTTAGCTGGCTGTCCCCGTCTGCAGCTTCCAGCCTCTTAGAAGGAGGGGAGACTAACCTCATTTTCTCTACCAGATAAAAAGGAAGATACTTGGGTTCGAAGAATGGGTCTTTTGAGAATTCAGAGCTGGGAATGAACCCTGCGTCCCCTGGCCTTCCCCTTGTCGTCTGGGTCACCATCGGGCTCTCGTTGAGCGAGGGGCAGCTCTCTGCCCGTCGCTCAGCTGCTCACTGCCTCGCTCTGCCTCCGCCTCGCCACAGATCTACGCGGACCCCACCAAGAGGCTGGAGCTGTACTTCCGGCCCAAGGACCCTTACTGCCACCCTGTGTGCGCCAACCGCTTCAGTACCAGCAGCCTGCTGCTCCGGGTCAGGAGGAAGACCAGGCGGCAGAGGGAGCTGCCGGGGCTTGAGCCCCATCCCGGGGCCACGTTCGACATCGAGATACTTGGCATCATCTCCACCATTTACAAGTTTCAAGGTAACTGCAGCTTCCTGCGTTGGGTTATTTTAGGACCTGTGTCCACATTCCTGTAGGTGCTCTGTGGGTCCTCACACTGGGAAGGGGGCCAGTCTGTGCCCCGGAATGAGGGGCGGGGGATGAACAGAGCTGGACAGTCCAGGCCCCATCCGAGAGGCGCACGTTTCCCCCTCCATGCACAGCCCTCAGCGGATTGTGGGCTCACTGCTGCTCATCTGCGTTCTTCAGAAAGGCTCGTGTTCTAGGTAATCCCAAAATTTTTAAGGCCATTATGTGGGGCCGAATAAAACTGGTTAGCAGGTCTCCAATTTTTGACCGTCAGTGTTTTAGAACCATCTCTAAGCCTTGACTGTGTACTGGTCTTGCCTTTTCTCTGAAGCCTTCCCAGATCATCTCAGCCCCCTGGGACCTCATGTTCCTTTGAACTCTTGGCCACCTGGATGTTTCCCGTGGGGTCCTCAGTCAGTTTGCTACCCACAGGGAGCCCCAGTGAGGAGGCGGTAAGGGGCAGGGCGGGGTGGGCGAGTAAGAAGGAGCCAGTTTGTTTGGGCAGGCGCTCAGCTGCCCTCAGCCTCCGGCTCTTCTCCGTACAGTGTGGGAGCCTGGGTTCCTAAGGCCCTCGTGAAGGGTCGGGGTCTGGGGGATGCCGTGAAAGGGCCAGTTCACACACGCAGGAGGCACTTGGCAGATCACTAGGAAGCCTTAGTGGATGCGCAGCGTCAGCTGCAGCTCTCAGACGGTCTGCGGAGAGCTCGGATGCGGAAGAGGGGCTGGAAAGTGGAAAGGGATGGAACCAGGACCTGGGATCCCACACTGGGCATTTTGAACGTCAGTCGTGCTGGTGGCATGTGGTGCTCCCCAACAAGGGCCATCCTTCCTGGGGCATGTGGTGCTCCCCAACGATGGCCATCCTTCCTGGGGCGAGGTCTTCCCATGATGCGTTTTCCATCCGTCTGTTCAAGCTGGCACCCCGCCACTCAGTCTGCATCCTGGCCAGCAGCGCCGGCTGGCCTGGGGGCTTGTCTGAGGAACAGAGTCCCAGAGTCTTCAGCTGGGCCCCAGGTGCGTCGTGTGCACTCTGCATTTCAGGAAGTGCTGACCTAGATCAGACCCTCACGCACCACACCTTCCCCGACCCCGGCCCTGTCGGGAGACTCCCAGGTGCACAGAGTCACGTGCGCAGAAGTGTTTCAGATGGTGCTGTTCTGGCTCCCACCTCCAAGGCTCCCTCGGCACCTTGGAGAACATGTGGGTGTCGACGTGCCGCAGCCGCCAGTTCCTGGGAGGGTGTAGTGGGGTGCCCGCCATCTGGCTGCCTCTCTTTCCAGGAATGTCCGACTTCCAGTACTTGGCGGTGCACACGGACGCGGGCGGCAGGCAAATGTCCATGTACGACAAGGTGCTCATGCTCAAACCCGAGAAGGAGAGTTTCTTCCACCAAGAGCTGCCGCTCTACATCCCCCCACCCATCTTCTCTCGGCTGGACACCCCAGTGGACTATTTCTATCGGCCAGAGACGCAGCACCGGTAAGCCCCTCCACTCTACCCCCAGCCGCTGCAACATCACGTTTCAGAGCAAGGGCCCTGTGGTCAGGGGACCTGGGTCCCAGAGGCAGCCGAACCAGTGATGTAGAGACCTTGCTCAGAGCTCCCACGCCATGGAGAAGGAATCAGGATGTCACCTTAAGACTTGGAAGACTCGTGCCCCAAAGCAGTACCTTGAAATACTTGGAACAGTGAGTGGCCGGCAGAGTTTGGTAGAGTAAACAAGTGATCGTCCATGAGTAGGGATGCGGCCAGTGAACGTTCAGCCCTTCCGGGCCAGGGAACCCCGTGCAGCGTGTGGGAGAGCAGGCTCGTGGGCCGATGTGGCATTTGGCCAGGGTGCCTTGCTCTGTGAAAAAGGCAGGTGTAGGAGCACATCCTGTGCTGCAAAAATAAATTGTGGCATGACGGTAGAAACCTAGAAAGTTTTGGAAGATGGAGCCCAGAGCAGTTACCTGTAGAGGGGTGAGAGGATGAGGATGTTCTCTTCCCTTACTAAATGTTTTCATCAACAGTGCGGACTCAGGGTCATGGCCTGGGGCACTGCTTGGAGCCCTGGGTCAGCAGAGGACAGATGAGGTCCCTGCTGGGCTGGGTGGGGAGCTGGATGGAGCACGAGTGAGCCAGGAGTGAGCGATGGGCCTGTGGCCAGATGCGCATCTTAGAGGACATAAAAGGGCATAAGGGCAGTGAGTGGGTGAGGGCTCAGGGCCCTCAGAGGGGCTGACATCTGAAACAGACCTAAGTGATGACATATCCGGGCCGGTGAAGATCTGGGGAGAACATTCCAGACCAGGAGACTGGTGCCTGTGAAGGAGTGGTTGCAGAGGGAGTCTGGGAGAGTGGTGGGGTGAAGGTCACAGAGACTATGGTGAGGGCCTTAGATTTGATCCTAAGGAGAAAGTGCATTGTTCTCTTCCCTTAAAAAAACACGGAGAGTTCCAAGCACAGCCCAGAGCAGAGCGAGCACTCCAGCTGCGGCCCCAGCTTCTGCGATTGGCCCCCGTCCCGCACTTGCTGCCCCTGCCAGGCCCCAGCTTCCCAGCATGTCCTCGAGAAATCAGTCTGGGTGCCTCCCACATGGAGGGACTTGTGTTGTCATGTGAACCTGCCGCGCTGTTGCCAGGACAAGCGAGAGTACTGGCGTCCCCCGCGCCTCCCGGTGCCAGTCGTCCCTCAGTTTCCCCAGTCAGAAGCAGGCCTCCCAGCAGCTTCCATTCGCAAGGCTCAGGTCTCTTGAATCCCTGGCCCTTTCTGACCACAGGAGCAAGTGGTGGTTCCAGGGGCAGAAAATAACAACGGTGTAAGCAGAAAGGGTCAGGCCACACCTCTCCCAGCCGAAGCCCTCCACGAGGGGTGACAGGTTTTTCTGTTTGTGTGGTACTTGACACAGGAGTTTTAGGCATGGGAGAGACGATTTGCATATTTCTGAAATGCTTTGATTACTTCCCCCACAAGCATTTCCCTTCAGAGCCTGCAATAGACACAAAATACACAAGGGAAATTAGACCCCTCTGCGCTGCTGGGCCCTGGCATGGGCTCGAGCCGCTGAGTCACCTGTCTGTCCTGTGGGACGTGTAGGCAGCTGCTCCAAGTCCTCTGGGGAAGGCACAAGGGAGGAAGGCCAGCTGCCCTTGGACCACAGGCCCTTTTTTCCTCCCCATGTGGTTTATTGATGTTCCAGCAAATGGAAAGAACCTGCCTTTTTTCCCAGGGCCACTATTGATTTTTCTGCTCTGCTGGCCTTCTGGGGTACACCAGGGCTGGTGAGGGGGCCAGGCTGCAGTCTTGCTGGCCCCTCCTTGGGTCCAGGGAAGTTGAGCTTCCTGCAGGACCCTGGGCAGAGGAGAGTCTGGGAGGCTGGCCCACAGGGTCCCTCCTGGAGAAAGTCAGTGGGGGACCCAGTGAGGCGGCCCAAGGAGCCCTTTCCCTGTGGTGACCGGGTCCCAGCAGGCAGCCCACCAGCGGGAGTGAGCCGCTGGGGCCTTTTCTCTTAGGGGTGTTCAGGGTCTTGGGGGATGTCTTTGAAGTCAGGGTCATATTACACATTTTTGGGGTGGTTTTTAACAGAGTCACTTTACAGAAAAGGCACAGACTTGCTCTCTTTGTAATTTTATTTTTCAGTGTGTTCCTTATAAATATGCAGATGGTTTTTACTTGTGTAGAAAATTAAGGTAGAATGGAAACAAATTTAAAAGGTAGTAATCACCTGGGTGCACTTGGGTGGCTCAGTCGGTTGGGCAGCCGACTCTTGATTTTGGCTCCAGTCATGATCTCAAGGTCATGAGATCAAGTCCCACTCTGGGTTCAAGATGGGTGTGGAGCCAGCTTAAGATTCTCTCTCTCCCACGCCCTCTGCCCCTCCCCACTCAAAAAAATAGAATAAAATAAATAAAAGGTGATAATCACCTGAATGAGAACGTGGGAGTCCAGGACATGCTTTAAAATGTATTTCAGGGGCAGCTGGGTGACTCAGTTGGGTAAGCACCTGACGCTCGGTTTCAGCTCAGGTCATGACCTCCGGTTGTGAGATCGAGCCCCATGTCCGGCTCCTCACTAGCACGGAGTCTGCTTAAGACTATCTCACCCTCTCTCGCTGGCTTCCCCCACTGAAATAAATACATCTTCTAAAGAACCCTTTTTTAAAAAGTGAAAAAGTATTTTTCACAATAATTTTGTGGGTTTGAAGTGGGGTATGGATGAAATGAAATTGGCCGTGTGGGAATCGTTGACGCCGTGGGGCTTCTTGAGACTGTCCTCCTGCTTCAGTACAGGCTTGACGTTTCTGACAACCAAACTTTTTTTTTTTTTTTAAGATTTTTTATTGACTTACTTGAGAGAGAGAGCACGAGCTGGAGGAGGGTCAGAGGGAGAAACAGACTCCCCCCTGAGAGGAGAGCCTGATGTAGGGCTTGATCCACGAGATCATGACCTGAGCCAAAGGCAGATGCCCACCTGACTGAGTGACCCAGGCCCCCTGACATCCGCCTTAATGAGCTGACCACCTGGGCATCCTGGCCTGGCGCCAACAGAGCAGCCTGAGCACAGCGGCCTCTAGAACCCTCCCTCCTGACCCCTGTGCTGTAGGACGGTGCTGTTCAGTAATGACCTTCAGCCTCCCTTCACCCAGCTGTGGTTTAGATGCCAACCATCAGAGGGTGCGGGATGGGGTTCACGGGGCCCGGAGTCCCAGCTCTTGTCTTTACGAGCTCTGACCCTAGGGAGGTTTCTAGCTACTGTCGGTTACTTCGTAGGAAATGGGTTCCTTCCTCGGAAGGTTGTCTTGAGGGTTAAGTGAGTGAACCAGGGGAGTCAGTCAGTGTCGTCCGTGTTGCTGGACAACTGACCCAGTGCGCCCTCTGTGGCTGCGCCTCGCCAGCCCTCCCTGCTCGAGCCACATGGTTCTGTCTGGTGCGCACGGGTCTCAATGCGGCTGTGAGACCAGCAGCCTCACAGCTTTTGGCTACCCGCCCCGCACCCCCACCCGGTTTCCAAGCTGCGGGCCCAAGGCCTCTGTGGGCACGGTCGCTGCCCCATTCCCGCCCGGCCGTCGGCACAGGTGCCAGGTACTCCCCCAGCCCGTAGCCCAGACTCCGGGGAGTGGCACCTGCACGTGGGCTCCCTGCCTGGTCCAGCAGGCCTGTGCCTGGGGTCCCCTTGGAGGTGCCCCAGCCCACCCCAGCTCTCTCCGCCCCAGGGAAGGCTACAACAACCCCCCCGTCTCAGGCGAGAACCTCATCGGCCTGAGCAGGGCCCGGCGCCCCCACAACGCCATCTTTGTCAACTTTGAGGAGGACGAGGTACCCACGCAGCCGCTGGAGGCTGCCGTCCAGACGTGGAGGAGGATCTCCACCAACCCCACGGACCGCAAGGTGGAGGAGGAGCTGCGGAGGGTGAGCCCCGCGGACCGCCTCCGTTTACCCCCCGGACTCTTCCCCCCGTGTTGCCTGTGGCTGTGCTGACTGTGTATAACCGAGTCATCGGCACATGGGAACATTTCGTCTCCAGATGTCACATCTCCGAGCCATGCCAACATAAGCCCTACATTCCCAAGGTTGAAAATACTTCAGATACTTCTCAGAATTCTGGAGAGGTCCTTAAGGGGTGTAAGCAGTCGGTGCCCTGCCTGCTCGTGACTTCCCAGTGCAGCTCTGGGGTTCAGGAAGCTTTCGTTTACCCATCCCTGGTGGCAGGAAACCAGATGGAGCACCTGCTGGGTGCCCCCGTGGCTTCACCCACGTTAGTGCTGGAGGGGGCAGAGTGGCCTTCCGCCTGCCTCCCCCTGCCCCCCGGGCTGGCAGGCCCCGGGAGGAGCTGCTGGGGCCTCTGTTGCTCAGGCCCACCCAGGCGTGAACAGCAGGTTCTCACGGAGGCCACGTTGCTGCTGACAGAGGCCCCCCTCTGCCCTTGCTGAAGCGGGCTGTTCCCTTGGAGGTTTATTTCTTAGAGAGACTGTGTGAACTCCTGACTGGTTTCCAGCCTTACTGGTCCCTCGTGGGGAGCCGTGGGGGGCCACTCTCCGAGGGCCCTGCTAGTCCTCCAGGCACAGCCCAGTCCCCAGCCAGGCACCCCGGCCCCCCATCCCCCAGCCACACGGGCTTCTGCAGTCCTCCCGTGGGCCAGGCCGTCCCCTTCAGCCTTCATGATGTCCCAACTGAGGCTCCACCCTCCAGGTTGGGGTTCGGGGTCCCAGAACTCTGGCATGTCCCTGTCTTGGCCCTGCTCTGGCTCCTTCGGTCATCTGCCTCCCCGACTATCCTGTGAGCTGCATGAGGACAGAGACCATGTCCTTCGTGGTTGTTCCAGGATGCCCAGGCCCTGCAGCCACACCTGACCCAGGCTGTGTGTGCGGTCCCCGCTTGCAAAGCCAGGGACCCGTGAGTGAGTGCAGGGGCTCCTGGAGGCTGCTCCTTGCCCGGTCAGCCCCTGCTCTCCACCAGCTTGCCTCCCAAAGGCTCTGCTGGGGACCAGACCACTCTGGAGAGCCTGAGCCAGGTGGGCAGGAGGCTCCTGGTGCTCATTTCAGTCTCTGCCTTGACCCCCAGCTGTTTGAAATCCGTCCCATCTGGTCACGAAATGCCGTCAAGGCCAGTATCAGCGTCCACCCCGACAAGCTCAAGGTCCTGCTGCCCTTCATGGCCTATTACATGGTGAGCGCCTCCCCTTGCTTCCCGCCAGAGTCACCCTGATCGCTGATAGGACCTCTAGGAGCTTCAGCAAGAACAGGTGGCCCTATCCCAGCAACCCCCCCCCCCCCCCCCCGCCATCCCGGGTGGCTTGTTATAGCCCCAGGGAGTCCCTCCATGGCCTCCCAGTAACACTAGCCATACTGGACGATTTTAGGATTAAAGAGTAGTTATAACTTTTAAGTAAAGGGATTATACTTTTTTTTTTAAAGATTTTATTTATTTATTTGACAGAGATCACAGTAGGCAGAGAGGTAGGCAGAGAGAGAGAGTGAAGCAGGCTCCCTGCTGAGCAGAGAGCCCGATGCGGGGCTTGATCCCAGGACGCTGGGATCATGACCTGAGCTGAAATCAGAGGCTTTAACCCACTGAGCCACTCAGGCGCCCCAGGGATTATACATTTTTAAGTGATCTTGTATTGAGAACATTCTAAGGACCGGATCGTTATATATTATATTCCCTTTAGAGGTATATATTCTATCCCTTTTCATCCCTGGGGGGGTGGCAGTGGGATTCCCTTCTTGCCTCTGAGGCAGAGCCAGGGCTCGGAGAGGTGACTTGTGCCGAGGTCCTCTAGCCAGCACGTGACAGAGCCACTTGGGACCCCCAGCCTAGTTGCAGAGCCCAGGTACCCTAACCACAGGGCCACCAGCCTTGGCTCATTCTGCCTGGGCTCAGTGGGAGTGGGGGTGGGAGGGGCAGATCTGCCTTTGGCTCAGTCCAGGAGGCCCTGGGGGTGAGGTGTTGTTACCGAGATTCCCAGAGGCACTGGAGGAAAGCACTCTCCCTTACCAAGGGTCTCCGCATGGAGCCCTGGGGAGGCAAGGCTGAGATGTGACCATGACATGATGACAGGTGGGGCAGACAGGAGGCTCTTGCCTCCAGACTTCAGAGAGCTGCTGTCTTTTAGCATCAGCTTTCTAGACATAGGGACCTCAGGTGTATGCCTGTTGGCATGGCGGAAACACTCCCTGGGCACTTCCTGTGTGCCAGGTGGCATGGGAAAGGCTCCCGGGGCATCTTCTCATGTAATCCTAAGAGAAGCGATGGGAAAGGGGGCTCCTGACACCTCCAACAGGAAGACCAAGGCTCAGAAAGGCCAAGTGACCAGCCCAAAGTGACAGAGCCGCACACGGCAGAGGCCGGCTGGGGGCTCCAGAGCTGTCCCCAGCTCTCAGGCATTCAGCTGCCCCACCCCGGGGCCTGTATCCCTGAGCCAGCCAGGGACGGGCCTCGCTCCTCTTACCCTTCCACCTTCTGTCTCCAGATAACAGGCCCCTGGAGAAGCCTGTGGATTCGATACGGGTATGATCCCCGAAAAAACCCAGATGCCAAGATTTATCAAGTCCTTGATTTCCGAATCCGTTGTGGAATGAAATATGGTAAAAATAACTAAAACCTTGCCTTGCTGTCTCTCTCTCACTATCTTTTTTCTGCTAGTATTCTCTTTTGTGGGGATGATCGACGTGGGAAAGATAAAAAAGACCTTTGCTTCTTGGTGAAATCTTTGTAGAATAGCGTAGAAGTGAGGGTCCCAGCTTGAGTCCTGGCTCTACCATTGGCCCTCGAGCTACTGACCCCGCGTTTCATCCACTCGGTTATTCTCACTGCTGGCTCCCACAGTGGGGGCTGGGCGCCCAGTAAGCGTCCAGACCCCTGCCTGCGGTGAGCCACTGCTCGCGGTCCTGTGTGGCTGGCACTGGAGTGGTGGCTGCTGGTACCTGGTGCGTGGGGGCCTGGCGTTCCTTTCTCAGGAGCCGGCCCTAGTGAACCCCTGGTGCGCCGATGGCACAAAGCCAGTTCTGGTTGCCGGAAGGGCCTCTGCGCCCACTTGCTCCCATCACGCCTTTCCTGATCTGCAGGTTACGCCCCAAGTGACATGCCCGTCAAGGCCAAGCGCAGCACCTACAACTACAGCCTTCCCATCACCGTCAAAAAGATGTGTGAGTGCCTCTGCTCGCTGGTGGCCCGGGGCTGGTTTGCCCTCATACTGAGAGACACTGAGGAAGATGGGCCTCTGGGCCGGTGGGGGAGGGGGTCCCAAGGGGCTGCCCCAGGGCGCTGCTGACCAGCATGCCAGGGAGGGGCGGGGAGAAACGTCCCCTTTATTCCCAAGTACTGCTGCTATCCCCTCACAGCCAGCCAGCTTGTCACCATGCATGACCTGAAGCAGGGCCTGGGTCCATCGGGGACGCCTGGCACACGGAAAGCAACCTCCAACAAGTACAAGCTCAAGGTGGGTGCCCCCCGAGCCCCAGAGGAGAGCAGCAGCCCACCTGCTCAAGGGCGCAGCGGACTGTGGAGAGGAGGCACCTCCCTCGTGCAGGCCGGGCACACTCCTGCTCCCAGAGTCCCTAGTCGGGGCCACCAGGAGGGGGTTGGACAGGCAGCTCTGCCCACTGGTACCTTCCAGGACAGCCTTGGGAAGCATGCCAAGGGCTTGGTGCGAACCACCCAGCCCCGTGGCCACTCAGGACCATCTGGGCGTGTCTCAGAGAGGGATGGGTGACACCAGCAACTGTGCGTGGCTGCCTTTTGTGAGCCTGTGGCCCCTGCCCGGATGGGCCGCGTGGTGTGTGCTCATGTGTGCAGAGCCTCGGCAGACCGCCCGGCCCCTCACTGTGGGTGGAGTCGGGTACTGGCAGCCAAGAGCCTGGGACCCCTCACAGCCTCATGGGGTCCTCAGCACTCTCGATGGCTGGAGTCTGTGGGCTTCCCACCCCCTTGGGCTCTGTCCCTAACCCGGCTCAGCTGCCTCATGCTGGGAGGGTTGTTTGCGAGGAGGCAAGTGCAGCCGACACGGGAGGGGCAGGCAAGGAGACAGGCGCCATCCGTGTCCTCTTCTCATGAGGCCGCCATGTCTTGGCCTCAATGGCCGTCCTGCTCCTCAGGCTGTGTCATTCAGGCCACCACCCCTATTTCTAGAAAATGGACACTCAGTAAACCCTGCTTCTCAGCGGGCACCATGTGGGGCCCAGTTGGTAGGAGGTGATGAGGAACGAGGGCAGACTGTAGAAGGCTCACGAAGCTGGCATGACAGTCTGCACCCTAGCACATGGCCGGCCACGCAGGTGGCTCATGGCCCCAGGGCCGAGGGCGTCAGAGCCTCTGGATGCCAGCTCCTAGTCCCTGGCCTGTCCCCACGGCCTGAATCCGGGGGGTTGGGAGTGGGGAGTCAGGCCTGCCAGGCGCAGACCGGCCAGGGAGAGCTCTGAGCTCTGACTCACTGTCCCATCCTCCTGTCCTCTCCCCAGGACTCGGTCTACATCTTCCGGGAGGGGGCCTTGCCGCCTTATCGACAGATGTTCTACCAGTTGTGTGACTTGAACGTGGACGAGTATGTACTGAGGGTGGGGATGGTGGCTCTTGGGACCAAGGCCTTCCCTGCCCCTCTTCCGCTGGGCGTCAGGCTCCGTGGGAAGCCCTGCCGCGGCAGCAGGTGCTGGGGTGCCTCCGTCAGCCTCGTGGCCCACAGGAGCAGTTTCTGGGATCCGCCTGGCCTGCGCCCCTGGGCAGAGAGCTGGGGTCCCCCTCCTCCATCACGCACGTGAAGGCTCGGGACACGGTTCCAAGTTCCTGTGTCCCCCCCACCCAGCCGTCCCCGGGGCCCAAGCGACCTCCCAGCCAGTTGTTCTCAGTCATGTTTAGAAGGGGTGGCGGGGGGCACTGGGATGGGAAGAGGCAGGAGCACGTTAGACGCAGCAGAATCAGGTGAGAGCCTGGGGTTCCACAGGAAAGTACACATGTTCCTCCCGAAGTGTGCAGCTTGGGGGCGGGGCCCACATTGGTTGGGACCTCAGCCGGGGGCGGCCGGCCTCCATGGGTGCTCCCCACGTGGGTGCTGCTCAGCTCCATGCTCAGCCCTCTGCGCGGCCATCTGCGTGTGGGCGTTCCCAGCGCTGGCCCGCCTCTGCCGCACCCTGGGGCCCCCGTCGGCGGAGCTCCCCCAAACACCGAGTCTCGGTCCCCAGGCTACAGAGGATTATTCACCGCAACGACGGGGCCGAGACCTGCTGCACAGAGCGCGATGGCTGGTGCCTTCCCAAGACTAGCGATGACTTGAGGGACACGATGTCCCTCATGATCCGGCAGACCATCCGCTCTAAGAGGCCTGGTGAGCGCTCGGGGTGCAGGGGGCCCCACGCTGGGTCAGGGCAAGCATCCCTACAGGCCCCGCTTCCCAGTAAATTACACCCCAGTGGAATCATCCCACTGGAAGCCACATCCCCCAGGCTGCCCGCCTCTCCCTGGAAGGGAGTCAGGCTGCTCAGCCCAGGGGGGTCAAGGCAGGAGACAGGCCCGGAGGGCAGGGCTAGAGCCGGGCTGAAACCACCGCTTTGTGCCCTGACACCCCCCATCTCTCCAGCCATCTGGGGGTGCGTCCTGCCTGTCTCCTTGCACCAGGAGAGCAGGGACAGCAGGTGTGGGGGACCAGGCAGCAGGCAGCCCTGGCTGCTGGTGGTGGGATGTGGGGAGTAGGGAACACTTGCTGGTCTGTGGGTCTGATGAGGCGGGGGCGTGTGAGCGAGAGCAGCCCCAGATTCCAGACCCCGCCGGACTCCCTGGAGCTGATGGGTGTAGGGACTCCCAGCCTTGTTTGGGACGCGGCCCTGTCTGAGAGTCTCTGCTTGAGGCTCTCGACCCTTTCCCCGGGAAAAAAACTCACAGCACTCCTGCACACTCTCGGGGTCCCTTGGACCCGTGAAGCCACCCAGCCTCTGGGGAAGTGGTTTTCAAAGCTGTTGGCTTCCGTGGTCCCCTGAAGTGCTTGTTACACTGTGGAGTGCCAGGCCCCTGGCCCTCTGTACTTCCCCAGGCAGCTGCTCCAGGGCCTGAGCCCAGACACCCGTCATTGTAAACAGGCCTCCAGCAGCCTGATGGCTGGTCTGGACCTGCGGCTGTCTGGCACCTCTCTCGGGCTGAGGCCAGCAGTAGCTGGTCTGGGGGCCACCCAGGAAGCCTGTGCTGAGACACACATGGCCTTGTCTTCTGGCCCCAGCTCTCTTCTCCAGCCCGGCCAAGGCTGACAGGGGGAAAGAGCCCCTGACGTACGAGTCTGGGGATGACGAGGAGGATGAGGAGGAGGAGGAGGAGGACTTCAAGCCATCCGATGGCAGTGACAACGAGATGGAGACAGAGATTCTGGACTACGTGTGACACAGCCCTGCTCCCAAGGCTGGGTGTCGTGATCACACAAGACTGGCAACGGAGCCGGGACAAGCCCTGGCTCCCCAGTGCTGCCCACGGTAACTGGAGCGGCCCTGCGAGCCCCCCCGCCAGAGGAAAGCTGGGGTCTTGGCGCTGGGTACAGTTGACCCTGGTCCTACCCGTATACCTGTGACACCAGCTGCACAGGGCTGCACTTTGGCCCCAGGTGCTTGGGGACATCCCCAGAGGGTGTGACCTGGCTTTACACAGGCATGAGCCAGCCCAGCGTCCAGCAGGCTGAGCTGGTGCCCAACACCTCTCTCTGGCCGAGAACAGCAGAAGCTGGAGGGGGTGATGTGGCCAGGGGAGGGGGACAGCCTTGCCTCGGGGTTGATGGCTGGTCACCAACAAGGAAGCTGCTCCGTGGTCATGGATGGGCCAGGGCTGTCCTTGGGTTTGGATCCCATTCATCTGGGACCCAGCTGGAGTTGTTCTTACAAATACACGTTCCAAGGAGAAAGCGGTGTCTCGCTGTGGGGGTTGGAGCCACAGGACGGTTTCCTTTTGCAGGTTGGTGGGGAGCAGCTGGGAGCGCCCCAGATTCCAGGCCCCAGATGGTCCTAGAGCCGCGAGCTCAGCCCTTACTGCTCCAGATGTGTTCTTGAGTAGTCCTGGGGACACAGACCCTGTTGCGTCTCCGCTCCCTGGTGTGAAACCAGAGGTAGTGCAGGGTTCTTGCGGGGTGGAGCTGGCTCTCCCCGGGGAGCACTCCCACCCATGCCAGGGGGCGGTTGTGCCACGGTCCTGCAGAGCAGCCTGGGCCAGTGATGAGCCCGATCACCCCCTTCCTCAGCCAGCAGACTGGGCTACCTATTGTAACAGGTCCCTAAGTCACATTGTAAAGTCCAATGCCTCAGACAAGCCCGTCTGCTGCCCAGGCTCCAGGGGAGCCCTCTCAGAGGACAGATCAGGAGCCCCCATGGCTCACAGTTGGCCTGAAGTGGCTGGTCCTGGCCACCTGCCTTGCAGAGCGCCCCGTGGCCCCACTTCCTGCTGCTGGGGACCAGGAGGGGTCCCCTCCCCCATATTCAGAATACCTGTAGAGCAGGTTCTCAGAATTGGAAAAGCTGGACAGAAGGTGTGAGTTAACAAATCCCCGTCCTCGTGCGGGGCGGGGGCCTCAGGCTCTTTACCCGCTTGTCCGCACACCACGCAGCCATAGGCACACGAGCCCCAGCCCAGCCTGCACAGCCCCTTCTAGCCTTCCTAACACCTCCCACCCGCAGTCGCCCACCTCTCCCCGCCCTCACCACCTTTCTCCAGTCTCTCGCCCGCTCTGTCCCAAACCATTCGGATCTGGAGGACAGGTTTGGCGGCAGTAGACACAATAGCCAGGGGGCCGTGGCAGAGGGCCTGCCCGGGCCCAAGCAGCAGGGCTGTCAGCCTGATGGGGCTCCTCGTCCCCTGGCTCGTGAATGCGCCCCCTTCCCTGGAGGTGGGTCGTGCAGTAGGTCCTGGGCATCCTCGGTGAGCTATGACCCCGGGGGCAGCCGAACTCAAAGGCCCCATCACAGGCCTTGTCCTTGGCCTGCCTTTTCTCATAAGTAACCCCTGGTGACCAGAGTTCTGCACAGCCACAGGGAACTGGTTGCTTTTGCTGTCGCCCCTACTTCTGTGCTCCGTTTTCTCCCTCCCACTCTCCCCCCGCCCCCCGCCATCTCTGTCCCTTCTGCTCTCTGTTGGTTGGTCTCCGTCTCTGCTTGGCTTTGCCCCAGGGTCTTGCTGTGGCCCATTTTTGTGGCCAGAAAGCCTGGTTTTTCCTTTTCTTTAAGGAAACCCTCAAGGTTGGGCTGGAGCCCCACTTCCCCCTTTGCCTTTTCCACCTGAGCCTCTCGTCGTCCATCCCAGCACCCCGATCCCCTGTGCTGCTGGGGGTCCCCACACCCGGCTCAGACTGCACACCCAGCGGCCCTTGATAACGAGGGGCAACCACACTGGCTGACGAGCGACACCCAGCCATCTGTGTCCTAGAAGTCACATGCCCAGTTCCCTCCAAGCTCCCGCTGTTGAGCTGGGGACGGGTGGCAGGCAGGCCTCAGGGACCAAACACGCCCCTTTCTCCAAGGGCAGAACCAAGTGCCTGTGAATCCGAGCCAGCTCACGGCGCTGTTCACCCAGGCAGCCGGCGGCCTGGTGACCTTGTGCCCTTGCCATCTGCCTCGGCTCCCAGGTGGGCAGTAAGCCGCACAGGTGGCACCAGGGTCACGGGGGCAGCCAGCCCTGGGAAAGACCACCTGTTCCCACGCCGTGTTTGTGCATACTAGTGTGTGCACGCGTGCATGGCGGGCTGCGTGACCTTGGCCTAGCCCGAGGTAGCTGGAAACTGGCTATCGCCTGGCCGCAGGTTCACTGCCTGGAGTGTGGCCAGGCTGCAGGGAGGGGCTGAGGTAGGAGGAGGGAAGAGGGGCCCTCTGTGGGCAGCTGCCAACTCAGAGTCCTGGCCGGCCCCAACCCCATAAATACCCTGTGGGCCAGCGGGAGGGCTGCACACAGGCTGGCGCACACCATGGGTCACCTGGGGCTGGTCGTCTTGGGATTCACCTGCTGCTGGGCAGCCGTGAGCGCAGCAAAGGTAAGCGAGGGCCCGGCAGAGGGGCCACTGGCCTCTCACTAAGTGAGACCTGGGGACGGGACGGCACCACGGAGGGAGGACAGGCAGGGTCATGGGCAGGAAGGGCCAACCTGCAAGAGGAACCCCAGTAGTCAAAGTGGCATTTCCTGGGCACTACGTGTTCTGTGTATGTTTCCATTACAGGGTACAGCATTGCCAAATTAAATCTGGATTTCACACAAACCACGGAGTTTTTGGTGTGGGTATGTTCTGTGCAGTATTTGGGGTATATTTACACTAAAACCAAAATCAATTTACGTGACATTCAAAGGCAACTGGGAGTCCTCAGTCTTTATTTCCTGAATCTGGGTACCCAACAGCCCCCTGGCTCTTTCCAGAGAGGTCGATGTCCCTTTTCATAGAAGGGGCCTGAGCAGACTAGCCGTCACCCAAGCTCACACAGCCACCAATGGCTGAACAGAAACCTGGAACCCCAGAGTGGTTCCCAACCTAACCTCCAGGTCCCAAGAGGGTGGTCCCCACCTACTCGCTGAGAGTCAGGAGGCCGCCCCGGGCGGGTGCGCATCGGCCGCGGTCTGCAGAACAGGGCAGGGAGAGGGCCTCAGGCTCAAAACCCCACAGACACATGGCCATGTGGTGTCCACCCTCCTCCAGCTGCCCTAGGGCCTGCCCCTTGGACCCGGAGGTTTAGGTGCCGGCCCCAAGAGGTCACGGTCTTCGGCGGGTGGGGGGGCCTTCTCTGAGGGCAGAAAGGGCCAGGATTGCTTCCCGCTGTTCCAGCAGCCAGTGTCCCCCTCCCCTCCTTGCCCCTCACCCAGGGGCCCTCAGGCCAGTCTCAGTTCTGAGAGGTGACTTCCCAGTCCCCAGGCACCGACCTGGCCTGCTGCCCCATCCCAGCAGCCGGGAAGCCTGTCAGAAAAGATGCCTGGGGGCCTGAAACCAGGCTGTGCCGCCCAGCAGGGAGAGAGGGTGCGGCTGGGGGAACAGACATGTGCCTTGCCCCCTTGAGGCACCTGGTGAGAGTTGCTCCGGCCTCCTCTCCAATTCCAGCCTCCCCGCCCCTCCCCTGTTAGCCCCGACCTTACAGGGTGCTGAGACTCCAGTGGGGCCGAGGGGTGGGGGGCTGCCCTGCCCTTGGCTCTCTTGAACGTAGCACAGGTGAGAGCCAGGGAGCAGACCCCCGCCAAGGGACCAGACAGATGGGGAGGCAGCCCTAGCAGGGGATGAGAGCCTGGCTCTCCCACAGGGTGACTTCAAGCAGGCAGGCCTCAGTTCCTTTCTGTGACAAAGGGTAGATGAGCACCAGCCCCCAAGACCCTCCTGAAGATGGGCAGCATTGGCCACGTGGGGCCAGCTTGGAGCCAGGGCTGGATGCACAGCAGGGATTCTGATGGCCTGGGGGGAGGTGAGGGGCTTTCTCAGCGCTGAGCACAAGGGCTGTGAGGAGTTGGCACCAGGCCACGGACTCGAGACCAGCTGGACAGGGTGGGGGGCAGGGGACACAAGGGAAGCACACGGGCCATGAGGGAGATATTGCTGCTGCCCATCTTACAGATGGGGTAACAGCCTCGTGGTCACAGCTAGATGGCCATCTCCGAGATCCAGACCTCTACCCCACCTCCCCTGGCCTACTCGGAAGGCTCCCCGGAGTGGGAACACACTGGTTGACCCAACTTCCCCCAAGATTCAGGGAGTGGGACACCCTCAGGGTCCAGGACCAAGGCAGAAAGCTGTGCCTCTAGCAATGAGGCAAGTGGCAGGGCTCGGGCACGTTGGCCCCTGCTGGAAGCGGTCTCTGGGGAGCCTCTGGGCGCCCTGGGGCCTGTTCAGGTTGCCGCCCACCCCCATTCGGGACACCCCCCGGTCCTGCCTGAGCCTCGGCCTCTACCCCCAGCTGGGCGCAGTGTACACGGAAGGAGGTTTCGTGGAAGGCGTCAACAAGAAGCTTGGCCTCTTTGGCGACTATGTGGACATCTTCAAGGGCATCCCCTTCGCTGCACCCCCAAAGGCCCTGGAGAACCCCCAGCGGCACCCCGGCTGGCAAGGTGGGAGAGGGCAGGGGGCAGTGAGGCCGCACGCCTGGGAGGGCCGTGGGGCGGCTGCCATCCTCACACCTGCCCCACGGGCCGCCCGCAGGAACCCTGAAGGCCAAGGACTTCAAGAAGCGGTGCCTGCAGGTCACCATCACCCAGGCCAACACCTACGGGGCAGAGGACTGCCTCTACCTCAACATCTGGGTCCCCCAGGGCAAGAAGGAAGGTGAGTTCGCCCTCCTCACACCCCACAGGTGGCCCCCGAGCCCTGCCCTCGTGTCTGGGGGGCTCCAGAGCCAAACTTCCCTGCGATCGACACGGTGCAGAGGGAGCTGGGGGCAGGGGGCGGCATCTGGGGTGACCGGGCCTGCTCTGCTCTGCCTTAGTCTCTCGGAACCTGCCCGTCATGATCTGGATCTACGGAGGTGGCTTCCTCGTGGGGTCCGGCCATGGGGCCAACTTTCTCAGCAACTACCTATATGACGGGGAGGAGATCGCCACGCGGGGCAACGTCATTGTGGTCACCTTCAACTACCGTGTCGGGCCCCTGGGCTTCCTCAGCACTGGCGACGCCAACCTGCCAGGTCCGCCAGCTGTCCTGGGCACTGGGGCGGGGGATCAAGTGCGCCCCACCCCGTGAGCTCTGAGCCGGGCGGGGGTGCGCCTCAGCTCCCATCGTGCTCGGGCAGCTCCCACCAGTCCTCCTAGAAAGGCCCAGAATCCCATTTGCAGAGCCAGGGAGTTGGAGAGGCGCTGTGAGAGGCAGGAGCCCCTTGGCTGCTGGAGCAAAAGAACAGAGGCTGCCAGACAGACGGACAGAGTGGGACCCAGAGGCCTGGAGAGCAGGTGCAGGGAGCCCAGGGAAAGAGACAGAAGATAAGACTTTGCCGGGGCAACACAGGAGCTGCAGGACAGCCAGACAGACAAGGGTGGCTGTGGGAGGGAGGGAGAGAGAAGAGCAGACCGGTCCTCTTGCTCCCCCTGCCCCATCCCCCGCCTGAGCCCCACACCTGCCCCAGCAGCCCACCCGGCCAGCCTCCAGGAGACCCACCATTCAACATCTGGGAGCTCAGCCAGGGTCTGTGCGCAGTCGAGGACATTCTCAGCCCGCACACGTGCACTGTGCACCCCGTGTGGGCCAGGCTGTGGCACCCCAAGACCGGGCCACAGGTCCCTGACGGAGGCCCCTCTCCCACGCTGCCCCCAGGTAACTTTGGCCTTCGGGATCAGCACATGGCCATTGCTTGGGTGAAGAGGAACATCGCAGCCTTCGGGGGTGACCCCGACAACATCACTATCTTTGGGGAATCAGCTGGAGGTGCCAGTGTTTCTCTACAGGTCTGGGGGCCCCAGAGGTGGGACCTGCCCCCGAGGGTGTGGGAGGGAGCCACTGGGGGCAGAGAGGAGAGGGCCTGGAACTGATGTGTGAGGTGTCCTTGGCTAAGCCCGGGATGGGCAGGTGGCGTGAGGCCTTGGTGACGGGACCTGTGTGTGCTGCAGACCCTCTCTCCCTACAACAAGGGCCTCATCCGCCGAACCATCAGCCAGAGTGGTGTGGCCCTATGCCCGTGGGCCATCCAAAGGAACCCCCTCTTCTGGGCCAAAAGGGTAAGGTGGAGCTGTGGCGGGCAGGGGAGGGGCCTCCCTCCTTTCCACTCTGTCCTGGATTGCAGCACCCTCTGCCCAGAGCACTGGCCTCACCCACCTGCCTACCCCCGACTCCAGATCGCTGAGAAGGTGGGCTGCCCCTTGGACGATACCGCCAGGATGGCCAGGTGTCTGAAGGTTACCGACCCCCGCGCCCTGACACTGGCCTACAAGATGCCCCTGGCCGGCACAGAGTGTGAGTGGAGGCTGCTGGGCGGGGCCCGGGGGGCTCGGGGTCAGGCGACAGCCATGCTCCTGGAGAAGAGAGGGGCTGCCGGCTGTGAGGCTGGCCTGGCCCTGTATGGCTGGCCCGGCCCTGGATGGCTGGCCTCCCGCGGCAGTGTGCTTCCCCCAGCACCCTCGCAGGCTCAGTCGCCCGGCTGTAAGGAGCGGAGACATTCTTTCTCTGTACCCCAGTGGGTCATGACCCCTTTGAGATGCAGATGACCATGTGGGCTCCACCCCCCGACAAGGCACACATCCGTGGTCATTTGGACACAATTTTAGGGAGACTCATGGACCCAAAACCAAGAGCCTTTGTCCTAGACGGTCATTTGTTCTTCCTGCCACTCATGCAGTCAGTACGCACCCACCAAGCACCCACAGGAGCCTCTGGTCCTCCCAGCTCTGCTCCTCTGGGCCCGAACGCCAGGGACCCGGACAGCCCAGTGGGCTGGGATTAGCCCTTGCTCACCCTTCCGATGCTAAGTAAGAGACCCCATCATTTGTGTCTTGACCTGATGCCAATTAAACCATAGTGTTCTGAGCAAAGCGGACGCAAAGCAACCATGTGGCCCCACCTGCCAACCAGTCGTTCCCTCTGGCGTGCACTGGGAGGAAAAGCAGCCGGCCTGGGCCTCCCGAAGGCCGCTGCCTCCATGTGCCCTGAGCCAGCTCTGCAGTCCTTTTGGGGCCAGCTCACGGGGTCTGCAGGACAATGAGGACCTCACAGTTTCTGGCGAACACGCTGGAACCCAGCCCCGAGAGGGGGTGAGCCTCTTTCATCATCGGTCCTCTCAATTCCTTCCCCATCTTCTTCCCAGGGGCTGGAGGGAGGACAGCCTTGGGCTCCAGACTGGTGGTGTTCTGCCTGGGCGGTTCTGCTCCAGCACGCATGACCACATTGGGAGATAGTTTTGATTGTCACGACTGCAGAAGGGGTGCCACAGGCATCCCGCGGGTTGAGGGATGCGGCTGGACATCCTGCAGGGCGCTGGACCTCGGATTATCCCGCCCTTAATGTTGGCAGTGCTGAGGCCGGAGAAGCCAGGTCTGAGTCAGAGGAGGCAGGAGGTCGGGCCGGAGTCGAGTCTGGGTACAGGACGTGTCAGAGCCCGCCTCTCTCCCACCCAGATCCCATGCTGCACTATCTGGGCTTCCTCCCTGTCGTCGACGGAGACTTCATCCCCGATGACCCTGTCAACCTGTATGCCAACACGGCCGACATTGACTATATAGCGGGCACCAACAACATGGACGGCCACATCTTTGCCAGCATCGACGTGCCCGCCATCAACAAGAACAGCCAGGAGGTCACGGAGTAAGCAGTGGGTGCGGGGCCTGGGGGGCAGTGCCCAAGGGTGGCTGACAGAGGTCAGACCCGGGTTTGGGGGGCAGTCTGTGGCCCTCTGCTGGGTAGGGGTGCAGATACCCTCCCACTGGCACTGGGTAGAGGGTCCAGTGCTGGTGTGGTCCCTGCAGAGAGGACTTCTACAAGCTGGTCAGCGGGTTCACCATCACCAAGGGGCTTAGGGGTGCCAATGCCACCTTTGACATCTACACTGAGCCCTGGGCCCTCGACACATCCCAAGAGACCAAGAAGAAGACCGTGGTGGACTTGGAGACTGACATCCTCTTCCTGGTGCCCACCGAGATTGCCATGGCCCAGCACAGAGCCAATGCCAAGTGAGGACCTGGGCAGGGAGGCCCCCTGGGGAGGCCCACCCACCTGGGATGGAGCACCTGAGCCCTCAGGCCTCTTGGGAGGCTGGCTCATGGGTGTCTGCAAGGCCTGGGAAAGCCGGGCTTGGGTCCCCACCTGGGCCTGTGCCACCTGCTTTGTCCAGGCCTGATGAGACCTGAGAGGGCCCCTCCCTACCTCCCAGCCTCAGGGGACTTTGCAAAACCCCCCTGCGATCCTCTGGCCAGCCCGGCACCCTGTGCCCTCTCTCACTCCACAGTCCTTCCCACTGAAAAGTTCTTGAGCTGGTCGACCTTCCCCTCATGCTGCATGGAAGGAAAGATGGTCTGGGTGATGATGGTCTCTGTTGTGGGTTTCAGCTTGACCTACTTTCAAAATAACTTCCAAAGTAACTTAGGTCTGGGACCACATTAAAAATCTCTATATGATAATAGCCAATGAACTTAAACAAAAGTTAAGAATGTTTAAAAGTAAGAAGACAATATACCCGGCATCTAGAGAAAGCTTCGCAGCAGCTAAGCAGTAAATGTAGCTCTGAGCTTCCTGTCAGTCAAGGCAAAAAGGGAAACATCTGAGGGTATATAGCTTGTTCAATTAAATTAAGATATAAATTCACTTGCAGGGCAAAAAAGATCTTTCTTGATACTGAATTACAGGAGAAAGCTGCCTTAGTGGGTTTTGTGGAGGTGAATTATCAACACAACTGAAATCGTAGGTGCCCCGAATCCGTGGCTTTGGCCCACGGCTTTCCCTTTCCCAGGTGTCAGCATCCCAGCTTCTTCATGAGGCTTGTGGGAATTCCCCAGACCCTTCCCTGCTCCCCCCATGGCTCCCTCCGGAGCCCACCCCTGTGCTGGGTGGCCCCAGGTGAGCACCTTGGCCAGCGTGGGTGCTCTCCCCTTCCCTCCTCAGGAGTGCCAAAACCTACACCTACGTGTTCTCCCACCCCTCTCGGATGCCCACCTACCCCAAATGGGTGGGGGCTGACCATGCAGATGACCTCCAGTATGTCTTTGGGAAGCCCTTCGCCATCCCCCTAGGCTACCGGAACCAAGACAGGACGGTCTCCAAGACCATGATCGCCTACTGGACCAACTTTGCCAGAACTGGGTAAGGCAGCAGGGAGGCTGAGCCCAGAGCCCCTGCCACATGGCCCTGCGGGCCTGGGTTCTAGTCTCTGTTCCCTCACTTACACGTAAGCTCCTCCAGCCTCGGTACCTCTGTCTGTCTGTGAGGCCAGGGTACTGCCCGGGGCCCTGGGATCAGCACCTCCTGGGGCTCCATGTGCCCAGCCAGGGCCAAGGTGCCATACTGTGAGGGGCCCCGATGGTAAGGGCAGTGCAGAGCGGGGAGGGCTGTCCAGGCAAGCCAGGGCCCAGGTGGGCTAGGGACACAGGTCTCCAGTCTCCTGTGAGTCCCCAGCCCCACCCAGCCTTTTTCCTGCCTGCAGGGACCCCAATATAGGACATTCGGCTGTGCCCACGCACTGGGATCCCTACAGCATAGAAAATGGCAACTACCTGGAGATCACCAAGAAGATGGATGGCAATTCCATGAAGCAGCACCTGAGGACCAGCTACCTCCGCTACTGGACCTTGACCTACGAGGCCCTGCCCACAGTGAGCGGAAATGGGACCATCCCTGCGCCCCCCTCAGGGGACTCTGAGGCCGCCCCCGCTCCCCCCTCGGGGGACTCTGAGGCCGCCCCCGCTCCCCCGTCTGGGGACTCTGAGGCCGCCGCCGCTCCCCCCTCGGGGGACTCTGAGGCCGCCGCCGCTCCCCCCCTCGGGGGACTCTGAGGGAGCTCAGATGCCTGTAGTCATCGGCTTCTAATGTCCTCGGCCCTAAGAAGCCATAGGGTGAGACACCGGAGGGCCCACCTCCCCTCCAGAGCTCCTCCCGAATAAAAGCTTCATCTGTCTGTCTGGCATCTTCCTTTGCTCCCAGGGCCCTAGCTGGAAGAAGCTGGGCTCTCGGGCTCAGGCCCAGCCACTGGGCTGACCGCCTTCCCCCGGGGTCCGTCAGTCTTCAAGCTCCAGGAAGTCTGGAGAACGACCCTCCCTCTAGCGAGGGGAGACAGGTTTGAAGACGTGAAGTGTGAGAGCAGGATGGGCTGCAGGTGTGGGTCCCCCCCACCCTGGGCTGCTGCTTCCCAGGGGGCACGGTGGGCAGTGGCCACAGGTGAGAGAGGACCTGGGCTCTGGGGTCTGTTGCCTCCCCTGGACCGGTGGAACCTGGCAGCACCAGCTCCTCTGGGGCTCGGCAGGGACCTCCGTGTTCTGACTGGGGTCTGGGCACCTGGCCTGGGAGGAGGAACGGACTCTGCTTCTAGCTGGATGCGAGTTGAAGAGAGAACAGAGCTTCACACTGGAAGGTCAGAAGCAAAAGTTGCAAGGGGGCTGGGCATTGGGTGGCTCTGGCAGAGTTGGGGGTGGGAGGCAGAGATCAGGGTCAGGGTCATTCCCACATCTGGGAGTCTGGGCATCCTTCATTGGGCGGCGAACTTAAGCAGCCTGAGGTCACCATGGCCACAGTGAGGGGTCGGGGACGCCAAGAGGGGGTCATACACCTCAGATCACGAAACTCCACAGCTAGTGCTCGAAACGATGTTGGGGGGTGTCTTCCCCACCCCTCACCCATTCTTTTGACTCTGTGAGGCTGTGCTGAAGGCTCAAAAGAGAGAAGATTCTGGAGTCCTGAGTGGCTCTGCCTGGTGGTGGGGGGGGGACTGGAGACAGCAGCCGCCGTGAGGCAGCCAGCACGCTTCCCCTCTCTAGCCACAGATGGAAGACTGACGTCTGGGGAACTGAGTCCTGTGGCCACCATGCAGCAGAGCTGCACAGGGGGCAAACCCGTGCCCAAGAAGGAGGGTACAGTCAGGCTGGCGTGGGACCGCCGTGGCTACGCTGGGCTTCCTGGCTTAGTTGAGGGCTCTCGGGCGTGAAGAGGGGATTCCTTGTCACAGACTGAGGGGATGGGCCCTTGTGGCAGTGTGGGCCTTTTCTGGTGACCGTCCCTGCTCTTGGCCAACAGAAGCACAAGGATCCAACAGTGGGTCCTTCCTCTGCCACAGTAGTTTGCACACGACTTCTCTAAGTGTTTCTGCCTGTTCTCAGGAGCCTCCTGGCACTGCAGGGGAAACCTCACACCCCATGGCCTCCGACGCACCCCAGACTGGCCCTGGGACAGGCACTTCCAGCCCTTACTGGGGGAAAGCACAGCTGTGCCTGCCTGTCATTCAGAAAATCGCATCCCGGGAGGGCTGGGCCGCGTCAGAATGGCTGGGGGCACTGGGATCCGGGCTCTGCCCAGCCCCCGGGCTGCACGGAAAAGGCCTCTCCGGCTAAGGCAGCCTTGATGGATGTCTGGGGGCCTGGGGGACACCTGCCACTGTCGGGTCATCCCACAATTCCTCGGGCTTTTACCTTTACAGCCCATAGCCAGAGCATGAGGTTGAAAATACAGCTGATCCCTGAACAGCATGGGGGTCGGGCCAGCCGACCCCCCCCACCGTCAGAAATCCACATATAATGTTTGACTCCCCAAAAATGTAACATCTAACACCCTTACTGTTGACTAGAAGCCTCATAGGTAGCACAAACGATTAACACATACTTTGTGTTTGTATTATACGTTATCTTCTTAATAAGTAAGCAAGAGAAAAGAGAATGTTAAGAAACTCATAAGGCAGGGGCGCCTGGGTGGCTCAGTGGGTTAAAGCCTCTGCCTTCGGCTCAGGTCATGATCCCAGGGTGCTGGGATCGAGCCCCACATCGGGCTCTCTGCTCAGCAGGGAGCCTGCTTCCCCTTCTCTCTACCTGCCTCTCTGCCTACTTGTGATCTCTGTCTGTCAAATAAATAAATAAATAAAATCTTTTAAAAAAAAAGAAAGAAAGAAACTCATGAGGCAGAGAAAATACAATTACAGTCCTGGACCATAAGGAGGAAAAGCCAAGTGAAAGCACCCCCCCCCCCACCCCGCAGCACAGTTGAGGGGCAGGCTGGCAGCTGTCCAGGGTCCTGGAGCCTCCCTCCACCCCCACTCACCTCCAGGGGGCCAGGAGTTAACCTTTATGTTAACCTTTAATGGTGATGCCCAAGGAGGACAACTGGGGAAGCTGAGGACAGCCCCTGTTTACCACCCTAGTGACACGTCTCACTGTGTCCTTGGGTTGGCAGTCTTGGCGGCATTCCTCCCCCTCTCTCCCCTGCCTCATTTTTCAACCCTCCCTGCAGGAAAGTTTCGAACCACCCACTTCCTCCGTGACATAACCAAATCACAGACCTGGGCAAAGAACATGGCCATCCCAGGGGGCTGGAAGCTCTAAGGGCTCTGGCCTAGCTCCCTTTTAGGACAAGTCAGTACCAACAAGACCGAGGCCACAAGCTGGTGATTGCCTGATCTGGTGGACTTCAGAACCACATGGTCTGGGAATTCGTCTTGGCCAATGAGGGGGACTGGGTGGTCTTTCATAGGCAGGACTCTGCACCCTTACCCTCACAAACCAGCACCGAACTGGAATTCGTCAGACCCCAGCCAGGATGAGTGGCCCCCGCGTGCCTGGCCGAGAGAGGTGGGCAGGGTAGAGGCTTCTGAAGTTTTTCTGGGCAAAATCAATTATATGAAGAGTTGCAGGAATGTGGAAATCCTAGGTCACAGGTAGAAGAAGTGCTTAAGGAATAAGGCTCAGCTGAAGCCTCAAGTCTGGTTTGTAATCTTTCCCCTGGATTCAAAGCAAGCTCAGAAGACGGTCTACGGACAGAGGTTTGCAGTTCAGGTAAAGGGCTGACCATGGGCCCCTAGAGAGAACTTAGGACGCCAAGTCCTGCTCGACCATAGTCCACTGGCTAATAACCTCCCCCTGGCCTTTTCCCTCCCACATTGCACATTTTGATCTGTTTACAATCCTAATCCCCACCCCCGCTACTTAATGCTGATGGAATTCAAATCTAACCCTGAAACCTCTAAGTTCCTAACTGGTCATAAGTTCCTCGTCCTAAACCCCAATAAAACAAGCAGAAAATGCTCCCTCTTCCTCGGAAGCTAAGAAAGTTAAGAAAGGCAGCTGCCGCACTGGGTCAGGAAATGATCCTTGCAAACGTTATTGTTTAAAAACCAGCATAAAGGGGCGCCTGGGTGGCTCAGTGGGTTAAAGCCTCTGCCTTCGGCTCAGGTCATGATCCCAGGGTCCTGGGATCGAGCCCCACTTCGGGCTCTCTGCTCAGTAGGGAGCCTGCTTCCTCCTCTCTCTCTCTCTCTCTCTCTCTGCCTACTTGTGATCTCTGTCTGTCAAATAAATAAATAAAATCTTTAAAAAAAAAGCATAAAATATATACAACATAAAACATGCCAATTTAACTACTTCTAAGACACGATTCAGTGACATTAGTGCCGTTCGTACTGTTGTGCAAACATCACATACCGAGTTCCAGAACTTTTTCGTCACCCCTGACAGAAACTTTGTATCCATCGATCAATAACACCCCGTTTTCCCTTCTCCCCTCCCCCCCCGGTAGTCTCTTCTATTTTCTGTGCCCCTCAGTTTGCCTGCTCTAGATATTTCTAGATATACCTGAAGTGGGACCGCCGTGTTCCCAAGGTCTGTCTGTGTTGTGGCGCGTCACAGCGCCAGCCCTCCTGACGGCTGGAGCCATTCCCAGCGCGTGTCGCTGTCATACGGTTGTCGCGGCACTTCCTCACAATCCTTTTGTTCCTGTGCAGCTGGTAGGGACGTTCCCGCTTTCACGGCAGATTCCCGCACCACACTTCGTGGTCCGTCTCACTAAAAGGTTTGTCAGCTTTGGTGGTTCTTTTTCTAGTTCCTTCAAGTGCTATCGTTCAGTTACTGACTTGAAATCTTCCTTCTTCTGTAATATAGGCATCGGCTGCTAGAAATTCTGCTGTTAGCCCTGTTTCCGCTGTGTCCCGTAACTTACAGTACGTTGCGTTTTTGTTTCCACTTGTGTCAAGTTATTCTATGACATCCTTCGTGATTTCTTCTTTGACCCCCGGGTTATTGTGCTGCTTCATTTCCACATTCTTTTGAGTAGCCCGTGTTCTTTCCACCTTTCCCTTCTGCTGCTGCTTCTTTTTTTGTATTTGACAGAGAGAGAGAGAGTGAGATAGTGCGCGGGGGGAGAGGGAGAAGCAGGCTTCCCGCTGAGCAGGGAGCCCGATGAGGGGCTCGATCCCAGGACCCCGGGATCACGACCAGAGCCAAAGGCAGACGCTTAACAACTGAGCCACCCAGGCGCCCTTGCCTTCTGCTTCTATCCCACCTGCTTGGAAAAGATACTCACATATTTCATTCTTTACAATTTATTAGGACTTGTTTCGTGGCCTCACAGATGGCATGTCCTGGGGAATGTCCCATGTGCCCTTGAGAAGCTCGTGTGCCTGGCTGCCATTGTGAAGGCCTCCGCTTCTGTGTGCCGGGTCTGACAGAGTGTGGTTTAAGTCCTCTGTCCCGAGCCATCGTCCACCCGGATTCTCCCAGCCATTGTTCAAGTCACGTAGTCAAGTCTCCGACTCCCTTTAAAAAGATGTCAGGTTTTGCTTTAGGGATGGAGGGTTACAACTGTTATTTTTTTCTTGATGAATGGAAATTTTTATCAGGGCATACTGACCTTCCTTGTCTCTTGTTAGCTTTTTGACTTAAAATCAATGTTGTCAGATAATAGAGCTGCCCCAGCTGTTTACTGTTCTGGTGGAATATCTTTTCCTACCCTTTTATTTTCAACCTTTTTGCAGATTTCTCTCAAAGGGAGTCTCTCTGGGGGCACCTGGGTGGCTCAGTTGGTTAAGCAACTGCCTTTGGCTCAGGTCATGATCCAGGGGTCCAGGGATGGAGCCCCATGTCAGGCTTCCTACTCATTGGAAGCCTGCTTCTCCCTCTCCTCCCTGCTTGAGCTTTTTCTCTTAAACAAACAAACAAACAAACAAGTAAGTAAATAAATAGTATCTTAAGAAAAAACTCCCCAAAACCAAAGCGAGTCTGTTTGAATACAGCATATTGGTGGAACATGTTTTTTTAATCCATTTTGCCAAACTCGGCCTTTTATGTGGAACCTTTAACCCATTTATATTTAATTACTGATGACTTCCTTCTTCCATTAGCGACTTGTTTTCTGCATGTCCTATTTACTTTTTGTTCAATTTTTCCATTCCTGCTTTTTATGGATTTAGCTGATTATTTTATAGTGTACCCTTTTGATTCCCTTCCATCCTTTTGTATGTATTTCTAAAAAAAGATTTTATTGGTTACCTTTGGGATTGCAATTAACATCTTAAACTTACAGCAACCTAGTTTGGTAATACCAAGTTCATTCAGTAGTATACACTCAGCTCTTGTAAATTCCCATCCCCACTTCCTTTATGTATCCTGTTCCCATTAACACAGATTTACAGTTTCATAAATTTGCTTTTTACATTATATAGAAAAAAGGAGTTATACACCTAAATTGAAATGATACAGGCTTTTTAAGTGATCTATTACTTACCTCTCCTTCAGCTCTTTACTTTCCCTATGGCTTTTAGTTACTGTCTAGTGTTCTCTCATTCAGCCTGAAGGGTTTGCTTGTAGGATTTCTTGTAGGCAGGTCTACTGATAACAAAATCCCTTAACTTCCTTTATCTGGCAATGTCCTCATTTCCCTTCACCCTGAAGAGATAGTGGGTCCCTTTGAGTTTTTCTTCCTTGAAGTCCATTGAGCGTCTCCATGTGTAGAGGTAGTCTTTCATCAATCTGAGAAGTTTTCAGCCATCTTTACTTCAAATAATCTCTCTGCTCCTTTCTCTCTTCTTCTGGGTCTCTTGGTATCCGGATGCTGCTAATTTGTTGATGTCGCCCAACTCCTGGAGGGGACTGTTCATTTTTCCTCATTCTTTTTCCTTTGTGCTCTTCAGGGAGAATAATGTCGCCAGCCTTATCTTCAAGTTCACTGATTCTTTCTTCTGCCTGTGCAAATCTGCCATTGAACCACTCTGGTGAGTTCTTTTCATTTTTTTCTGGTGAGTTTTTTCATTTCAATTATTGTACAGTCCAGAGATTTTTTTTTTTTTAAGATTTTATTTATTCATTAGAGAGCCAGGGAGAGCACACAAGCAGGGGGAGAGGCAGAGGGAGAGAGAGAAGCAGACTCTCCACTTCGCTGGGAGCCCGATGTGGGGCTTGATCCCAGGACCTGGAGATAATGACCTAAGCTGAAGGCAGATGCTCAACCATCTGAGCTCCCCCAGGTGCCTCATAGCTCCAGAATTTCTATGTGGTTCCTTTTCATAACTTCTCAATATAAGTTTCCTATTTGTTCTTACATCATAGATTTTCTTTGTTTTTGTTTTTTGTTTTTGTTTTTTTTTTTAAGCTGTCTGTGGTTTCTTTTAGCTCACCGAGCATATTTAAGGCAGTCAACTTAATGTCTTTGACTAGTAACTTCGATGCATGGACTTCATCAGGGAAGTCTGCCAAATTCTTTTTTCCTACATAGCAGCACGATCTTCCTATTTCTCTGTACGCTTTGTAATTTGCTGGGAACTGGATACTGAGGATGACAATGTGGTAATTCTGGAAACCAGATTCTCCCCCTCCTCCAGGCTCACTTCTGTTTTCCGAGAGCTCCATCTTCTGTTTCTATAGTGACTTTTCCAAACTACATCGTGACATGTATTCCTTGTTTGGGGACTGAAGCTTCTGTCCTGCTGCCCTGGTGGTCAGTGCGTGGACTGGCAGTGATCTCCTTCATCACTGACGTCCCATGGCTGTTTGTCATCAAGCACTCCCCTGGCTGTTGTGTGTTGGGCGAGGGGTGTTCCAAAGTCCCCAGATGCTTCATTCTGATCCTTTTCTCCCTGCAGCCAAATGGTCTCCATGGAGAGACTGACCCCTGCGCTGCTGCTTCTATAATTATCTCTTGCAAATTTTTTTTTAATTATTTTTTAAATATTTTATTTGAGAGACAGTGAGAGAGCTCTGGTGAGTTGGTGGTGGGGAGGGGCAGAGGCAGAGGGAGAAGCAGGCTCCCTGCTGAGCAGGGACCCCCCCCCCCCCCCCCCCTAGGCTGGGCTTGATCCCAGGACTCTGGGATTATGACCTGAGCTGAAGGCAGACGCTTAACTGGCTGAGCCACCTGTGTGCCCCACAAATGCTATTTTTAAAGACACCCAGGCTTCTGGGCTTGTTGCTAAGCCCTGTGAAAGCACCTCCAACCTCGAATCCCAAGGGTGCTGGGGGGCTGACCCAGCTCAGTGCCCAGCTTAATGACCCCGAGCTGAGCATCTGCTCCGTGAAAGTTAGGTCTGCACGTTTCCTTAAGTCAGTGGGAAGAAGGGTGGCTGGCTCTTCTCACTTGTCCCGCATACGATGAACCGGTAACCACGCAAGATCTCCTGTTTGCACATAGAATGCGAGAGTCTGTATCTCGTTTCTATGAGCGCAGGAAGTGGAAGAACCAAACCGCAACTCCCAAGCTATAGTAGAAACCAGATTTTAATATAAGATTCAAGTCTAGCATTTGCTATTTACAACAAATAAATATTGCCCCTCCCCAACTGGTAAACTTTTTTTGTTTTGTTTTTGCCTTTTATACAAATATTCAACACCCCTCCCCGTTCCCCCGATTCTCCTCTCCCACTAACCCCCGTCTCGTGTGGTCTCGTGAAGCCCAGGGCGCAGCGGTGGGTGGCACTCGCAGTGTCGTAAGAGTCCATGGCAATGGGCCTCAGCGGAGACCGTCCCCGCACACCGGGTGAGGAGTGTGATCTGTGGAAAGGCTCCCCGCCCTCCTCTCCTGGGGGAGGGCTGGGCCGGGGGTGGGAGAGACTCCCTCGCTCTGTTGGCCCTGATGGTGGTATCTTTGGTGCAGCCTGGGAAAGGCTAGCCTGGTGGAAAGAGGGCCCAGGACCCGAGAAGGGCATGGGCCAGTGCCCATGGGCATGAGGAGAGAAGTGCAGTGGTCAGACCCAGTGGATGAGTGGGTGCCCTGGGGTGCCCCTGGGCACAGGTGGCAGTGACCCACACCCGAGCAGGTGCGGGGGAAGTGCACAGAGGGCGGAGCCGGGCGGCAGGCGGGGTGCCATGGCCGTCGGCAGTGCTCCTTGGCAAAAGTCAGCTAGTCTTCTGGTTCCAGAGAGCTGAAGGCACCTACGGCAGCGAGTGGTCCACGGGAGGCCAGGTCAGCCGAGCAAACAGCTGGCGTCAATCCCGGCAGCCGGGGAGGTTCAGGGTGAACCTGGAGTCTGGGGGTGGCCTGAGCTGGCAGGTCAGGCAGAAGGTGTCCGCCCGGCCTGGGCCACTGGAGTCTCTAGGTGCTTAGTCACCCAGCCGGCCAGCGCCCGACAGAGTGGTCCCGTGGCTGGCCAGTGCCGGGGACTACCTAGAAGATGCCCTTGGCAATCTTGAGTCCCTTCTGCTTCATGCGAGGCAGAGTCGAGCTGGTGCCGTGCCTGACCTTTGCTCCCTTTGTGAAGGTCCGTTTCTTGAGGACAAAGTCATAGTTGGCCGTTGAGTTCATGGCGTAGAACACGTTGGCGTTGTCAGGGATCTTCAGCTCTGGTGGGAGAAGGGCGGGGAGAGGGTTACAGATGCTTACAAGGCCCGACAGAACAGCCACCACTTGAGGGCCCCCCAGGGCAGGCCTGAGCCAAAGAGCTGAGACGCCCCAACCCAATATCAGGAGACCGATGAGCCCTCGGAGTGACACCTGCCGAGGAGACCGACGGGCACTCGGGAAAGCCAATGACTCGTGTTTGAAAAGGGACTCTGACTCCACAATCCCCACCTCAGTCTGGAGTGGGCTGCCCTGCTGCCTTCGCTGACCATGATCTCGAGCCGGAAGATTTCTAGAATCCAGAACACCTCCCCTAAATCCTGCCCTACTCAGGACCAAGGTTGGGGGCCTAGCAAAGGGCAGGTCCTGCCTCAGGTCTTCTGTGCCAGGGTCCAGGAGAATCCACGCCCCCCGGGCAGCTCCTCCTCTCCCGTCTGCTGTGGACAGGAGCCCACTACCACTTAGCTTCTTGCCCCTGTCTCCCCTTCCCTACCCTGTCCTGGGCCTTAGTCTTCCTGTCCTGTAAGATGCAGGCTGCACCTGCCCTGTTCTACCAAAATGGTGCGAGAAGGTGAGAGAGGGTTCCGGAAACAACTTTTGGGGATGCTGGGGGTCACCATGAATTGTCTGGGCTAACAGCTGGCAGCTCACGGGAGAGAACAGAGCCCCACATCCTAGAGGTCTGCATGGATCAGCCTCTGGCTTGTTATCTCCCTTGTGGGGATGAGGAAACCGCAGGCGACGTGAGGGCCATGCCCCAGCTCCCTGAGGCCCGCCGTCAGCCTCCTAGTCCGTGCTGGCCCTGGTTCTGCCACTTTCCCAGCTCTCACCCACTGAGTGGGGCCCCTCAGAACCTATGCTTAGTATCTGCTGTGGTCTGAATGTGTCCCCCCAAATCTGGGTGGGAATCCACACACCCAGACGATGGGGCCTGTAGGCCATGATAAAGTTGTGAGACTGGAGTGTCAGGAATGGGACGGACGCCTTATATAAGGGGACCCTCGCCCCTTCTGCCACGTGAGGGCACCAGGAGAAGGTGGCCGTCTGCCCCGTGGACGAGGGCCCTCGCCAGAATCCCAGAACACTGTGTGCTGGGAGCCCCACGTCTCAGTCCATCCGCTGCCCCGGCCACCATGGTGAGTCACAGCAGCCCCGGCGGATGCAGACAACGTCACATGTGCGTGGATTTTAACATATCTGAGGTTCAGGTGCACGGGGGGCATGATTCCTTCTGAAGCATTTGTGCCCCATCTCAGCCAGTGCGCTCCATGAGCGGCCCCTGGGCGCTGTTGCCAGGCTGCCTGGCCCCGGAGGAAGAGCCCTTTCCCTTCACCGCGTGGTGCTGCTCGCTTGGAGCTCGGCCTCCCGCAGCCTGTCCACGTGCAGCCAAGGGCACGCACGTGCCAGGGGCCGGTGAAGGCTCCTGTGCGAGGCCGCCCAACCCCCAGTGTGGCTGCGCAGGGTTCTGGGAAGGCGGGCCCTGGGCCTGGGGCTGGGGCGTGGGGCTGCGCCCATGGCCCACGCGGCCGGCCCCGGACTTACTCCGATCGTCGGAGATAACCTGCACTAGCTCATAGTCGTCCGGCTCGTCCTCGTCCAGGTTGTGTTTGTCCATGGCCTTGCGGATGACGGCTGGAGCCTTATCTTGGCTGGTTACCTGGGTCGGGGAAGAGGCAGACCGTCAGGGTGCAGGGCCTGGAGAAGGCCCCCGCAGTGGGCAGCCCCGGGAACCCCTGGAGATGCCTCCCACTGCAGACAAAGGCTCAGCTTCGGGCTGGGTGCCAGGTCCACGGGGGCCCCTCCATCTCGTCCTGCCCCGGGAGGCCTCTGTGCAGGGATGGGGAGGTTTTCCCAATTGTTTCTGCCCCCCCACTCTCTTACAAGCCCACCACCTTCCTCCCATGCCACCTCGGAAACCTGCCGGCTCCCGGGGGCTGCTCCCCTTGAGCCTGTCCTTGCAGGACAAGGGGATCAATGAACCCAGGGAAGAGACAGTGTCTAGGCCCAGCCCTGGAGGGAAGAGAGGAGCCCAGGGGCCGCCTCTTTGCCAGGTCTGCGTTGGCTGGAGGCTCAGGGGTGGTCAGCGTGGGCTGACCCCTCCTGCCTCGACCCCAAGGCCACAGTGCTGATGGGCCTTGGACATGGGGTCCTACGGGTGACCGTTAACGACAGTCAAGCTCAGCACAGACAGGTGTGTCACGGGGCACCTGACCCGGCATGAGCAGATGGGGGGGTGGGGTCTTTGGGGAGTGCATGTGACTCCTCTGCAGCCTGAGCTCTGGAACATGAGTCCCCCCGCCGCCCCCACTCCGCAGACACAGTGTCTGGAGACAAAGCCCCTTGGCTTGGTCTCAAGCCCTGAAGGACCTCCATGGTCTAGCCACCTCCAGGGCCACCAGCCTGCCATGGTCCCTGCCTCCCCACTGGCCTCCCTGCACCTCCTGGCCCCAGCCCACGCCCACAGAGAAGCCCCAAGTTCCCGCGGCCCACCCTCCACTCCAACCACGGGCAGCTTCTGTCTCCCTCCAAGATCCAGATGCAAGCTCTGAGCCCTTGACCTCAGGCCTCCTGTGGCTCCTTCCAACCCCTGGGCCACCCCACCCCCCCTGAGGCGTCTGCTCTGTGAAGCTCTCCCGGGCACTCGCCCTCCAGGGAAGCTTCTCCACGGCCCCTCCCAGCCCTGCGGCAGCTCGGCCCGGGCGCACAGGCACCCACCAGGATGCTCTTGTACAAGTTGCCGTTGTCCACGTCCAGGCTGACGCGGATGATGCAGCAGTCGCCCACCTGCTGGTTGTAGAGCGGCAGCGAGGAGCTGCAGCCGCACACCCCGGACACGGAGCGCTTGTGGGTGCGCGCGGCGGCCACGGGCGTGGTGGAGGCCGAGGAGGAGGACGTGCTGCTGGAGGCCGAGCTGACGCCAGAGGTCTCCGGGGACGACTGGGAGGTCGACTCCCAGAACTGTGGGGATGGCACGATCAGCAGGGGTGCCCTGGCCAGTGCCCTGCACCGCGGGGACCCCAAGAGCTCCGTGTAGGAGCTGGGGCTTCCTGGCCACTTATGGGGGGCCGAGGAGTGGGGACCTGGGCCCCGGGAGAGGGGGTGTGGCGGTCACCTTTCTTTCCTGACCGTCGGGGGACTCCGGGACAAAGCTCATGTTGATCTCCTCCACGTCGGAGCTGGACGAGCCCGCCGAGTGGACGCTGAGGGCGTCGGCAATGTCCCCGCTGCTGAGGTAGGGGCCGCACCTGAGCTGGTCGCAGGACTTGGAGTGGGAGCTGCCGCTGGTACCGAGCTCCCCGCTGGGGGCCTGGCGGCTGTGTGGAAGGATCAGCTCGTCTGGGGGCCTCCCCGGGGCCACACCCCGCCCCTGCCCCCTCCACTCCACAGTGCAGCCTCTGTGCCAAGCACTCGGTCAGTCACCAGGCCCGTGTCTGTCCCTGCTCTGGGAGTGACGGATCAGGGTCACCCTACCACGCAGAAGCACGCTTAGCCCGAGGCTTAGCCCGAGGCTGCGCGGAGCCGGGAGGGAGCCCGTCCTGCCTGCCCCGGCGCTCACTCGCTCCAGCGCTTGACGATGGCCGCGTTCTTCTTGGCCTTGAGGGTGTTGCTGGCCGACTCGGAGGGGGGTTCCAGCTCACACGACAGGTTGTAGCTACGGGACAGAGGCACGGCTGTGAGGCTACGGGGAGGCGCACCCAGGTCTCCCTCCCAGAACCTGCCTGGCAGGGGGGGTCTAGACGCCCAGTCAGTCCAGCGCCGACCACGATCCCGCACCACAGCCCGCCCAGTGCACCCGATTCCTGCGCAGACGCACCTCTCCGTCTCGCTGAGCCGCTCCGTGGCCCGGAACCAGGCCCGGAAGTGCTCCTCAGGCACGATGCTGTAACTGTTACACGCCGACTGGAGCAGCTTGATCTGGGCGATCACTTCGAATTCCTGGGGCCAGAGGGCAGGGCAGGAGGGTGTTGGCATGGATGGGGCGCTGGGCATGGCCCCAGGGTGCCCCCTCCGCACTCTCTACTCCTGCCCAGGCCCCCCCTGTTCTCAGAGCTGGGTCCAAACAGCCCTCCCAGGAAGTCATCCCTGATTCCGGCCTCCCACACCTGCCCTCCAGTGGGACAGGTCCCCCCGCCTCTGTGTATCGCACCCGCCCCAGGAATATGAGAGGAAGCGGGGTGAGGCCCAGCGTTCTACCCGTGGGTCTCGATTCCACACCCCCGCTGACATGTAGGGGCTGCAGGGGCTCACCTTCCTCCTCTTCTCGAAGTTGATCAGTCTCCCCTGAAAAGCAAACAGCCAGCGACCCTCAGAAAGTGTCCCCTTGCCCAGGACTGCCCCTCAGCCCCTCTCAGGCTGCACTCCCGGCTGCACCACCAGGGGAAAGGTGGGTGCACGCACCCCGGCTCTGGGCGGGTCCTAGGATCTAGGGGTGGCTGGGTGGGGGTGGGGGACGGGCAGAGCCTTAAGGAACTTCTTGCCCAACCCTCTGAGGACAGGAGAGACTGAGGCCTAGGGCAAGACGGCCCAGCCTGGCCACCCCAGTGCCTGACCCTGGACGGCCAGCGCCTCTCCGTCCGTGGCCACTGCCTGAGGACAGACTGCCAGCTGCCAGGGCCAAAGCCTCCTGTAGCTCTAGGCCCCACCAGCTGGGCACCTAGCTCTCCACTCATGGGGGAGCTGGGCACAGGGGTGGCCAGGGGCTCTCAGATGAGGTGTGCCCAGCACTGAGAGCTCAGGGCTCAGTGAGGGGCGCCTTCCTCTGGGGCTCCAGGATCCCCGCCCCACTCCCACCCCGGCCGGGCCCGCAGGGCTCACTCACATACAGATAGTCCTTCATTGCGGTGTCCAGCATCACCAGGTCTGTGAGGAACGTGCCCAGGTAGGGAACGGTGCCCTGGATGACACCCTGCGGCTGAGAGGCAGGGCTGATGAGCCGGGACCAGGGCCCTCCTTGGCCGCAGCCTCCACCCCGGCCTCCCATTCGGAGCAGCCCAGGGACTTTCAGCTGTCTCCTCCAGACTCCTTCCTAGTAGCCACGGGCCCCCAGCTCCCCTAGTCACCTTCCAGGCCCAGTGTTTGGCAAGTAACCGAGGTTCTGGTGACCCTCGTCACCCCTAAACCTGTCCCAAGCCCGGCTCTCCCAGGCCCTTGGTCTGGTGGCCATCAACAGCGCCGTCAAGACAGCAGCAGGTCAGGGCGCGGCCCTCACAGGGCCCAGAGGCGGGGAGGGTGGTGGGGGGAGGGCGGTGGGGGTGGCCCTTCCTCTCCTCGAGGGGAGGCCAGCTCCTGCGGCCCCAGCCTCGCGCTCCCGGCCTCGCGCACACTCACCATCTCCTTCGGCCGCTTCTGTGCTCTCTTGGGGTTCATCTCCAGGGTGGCAAACTTGGAGGTCCCCTCCTGCCAGGGTTGAGGACAGGGTCAGCGAGACCTTCCTCTCCTCCCCAGCTTCCCCTCCAACAGACCTGACCTTGGGCCTTGGTCACTGGTACAAACGTGGTGCCGGAACGTGGGACTGCAGCCCACCCTCCCTGAGCCTGTTTCCTTGTCTGGAAAGTGCGGGTGAGCAAGACCCCCGCCTCCTGGGGGTATCCCAGGACTCTGCATCCTACACCTGTTCCTGTCGCTCTTCTCCCTCGCCTGCCCCGGGGTGAAGCCCTGCACAAAATTCATGCCCATTTCTTTTCTCCTTGTGCCTCACTGCTTCCCCATGAGTCAAGAGACCAGAGGGACCCCAGGCTCATCACACCTCCATTTTTTTTTTTTTTTTTTTTACACCTCCATTTTCTGAGAGCAGGGACTCGCCTGAGGTCTCAGAGGGACTCGGAGGACAGTGGGCTCCTCCCTCCCAGCTGGAGACCTACTCCCGCTAACTGGTCTTCCAGCAAACTGGAGGCCCTGTGGGGAGAGCCTAGCAAGACTCCCTGGGATCCATCTGTGGTGTCCGGCCTGGGGCAAAGTCCGCAGCCCCCCACCGTACCCACAGCTAGGTCCTGGGTCTGCTCATTTGGACCCAAGGTTGGCAGCCCCTTTGCGATGTGGCCTCTGGCCTCCCCTGTGGCATCCTGGCCCTAGGCAGACAGGGAGCCCTCCCCTGAGCTATAGCAGACAGGAGCCCCCCACCCCTGACCCCATCCAGCTACCTGCCTGGAGGAAGCAGGACACTTGCTAATCCTGCCAGCTCACCTATCCCTTCTGGAATGTCCCCCGACTGCACCCCCACCATCCCATTACCAGGGTCTCCTGTTCCCCAAACTGCCCCCCACTGGCCAGGGACCAAAAAGATCCCACTCTGCAGAGTCCAGACAGGACAGGACTGGAATCTTTCAAAGAACCGCTCACTGAGATCCTCCCTCCTCCTCCCAGGGTTCACCTTGATGAGCAGCTCTCTGCTCAGCGAGTAGTTGTTCTCATCGGAGAAGATTTCTGACAGCTTCTGGAAGATTCGGAAGCTTTCCCTGCGGGAACGGAGGACAGCCTTGGGAACAGCACACAGGGGGTGCGTGCTAATCCATTTTATTTTAGAGCCCAAGGCCCTGAACTGCCTGGATGGGTGGTTTCCACACAGGGTCCCGCTCTGCGGGCCCCGGGGAGAGCTGTGTGGGGGGCTCTGTTCCGACCCGTTTGGATTTCAGGAGGACAGAGTGGTGTGGCTGCTGAGTAAACCCAGGAAAATCTCCAGTGTGGCCCAATCTCGTAGCTGACAGATAAGGAAACTGAGTCCCGAGGCAGAACTGCTTGCCTAAGGCCAATGGACACTCGGAGGCCCTGCCAGCTGACCCAGGATTCGCTGGCTCAGGATTTGCCGACCCCTGGCAGGTCCTGGGTCCCCCCTGGAGCTCCTGCTGAGAGAGGCATGCCCACCTGGAAACTTCTTCCCACGTCTTCTTCAGCCGGTGGATGGAGTTGCTCTGCAGGGCGGACAGGATGGCGTAGAGTGACGAGAAATTCTTGAGGACACGGCACTCCTGGGGGAGGAAAAGCAAGGCTGAGATGTGGCTGTGGTCCCCGTGGCTGGGAGCTCCCAACCTGGGGGAGACGGATGCCGGCGGAGCCCGGGGAGGCAGTACTCCCAGGAGGGGGATCTCGGCACAGCCCACAGGAGGGAGTCATGGGGCAGTGAGCACCCGGGCGGCGGGATACGCCGGTTAAGGCCGGCGCACTCCAGAGGAAGGAAGGGCCTGGACGCCACATCACCACCCTGAGGGCAGATCAAGTGAGACAGGGGCTCCCCAGGGCCCCTCGGAGGCGTACCCTGGCCACCTCGATCCAGTGCTCCACCACCCGGGCCCTGCCCCGGGCCGTCACACTCCGGTCCCCCAGGCAGGTGGTGATGACGCAGTTGGCCACGCTGTTGAACTGGGCGACGGTGGCACGGACGGAGGGAGCCAGGTGCTCCTTGCCCTTCTTGTCTCGCTGGGACCAGATGGAGCCCAGGCAGTGGTAGGGCACCACCTTCTTGAACAGCTCCTGGGGACCAGGGGGTGTGTCACGCAGCTCTGCCACACCCCGGCTCAGGATCCCCGCTCCCCTGGTCCCAGGCAGAGCCCCTGGTCAGAGCTGAGCTCGGGAGCAAACGATGTGGGGCAGGATGTGGCTGGAGCCTTGCAGGCCTGGGGTGTGTGTGTGTGTGTGTGTGTGTGTCTGGGCTTTGCTCTCTGCCTACCACAGGCGCCCAGCACGAGTGGCCCAGGATGACGCACTGGAGGAAAGAGTCCAGCATTTTCAGCAGCCCGCCCTTACCGACTCCAAGCACCAGAAGGGGCCTCACAGCTGCACACAGCAGGGGGCACTTCTGGCTCCCCCATCATGCCTTGGGTCCGCCCCCCTGACCCCGTCCAGGTGCACGCCCGCTGTGGGTGCCATACCTTCGGGCTCTGGTTTCTGCCAGAAACTCTAGTACACAGCAGGTGCCTAATAAGTGCCGAGGCAGGTGAGGCCTCCTGGCAGATCGGGGGGTTGACCCAGGGAGCAGGCAGCCCCTCAGGGAGCTCCGCTCCCCCACCAAATAGGCCAGGCCCCACCCAGCCTTCGACTGTTCCCCCTCATGTAATCCACAGTCCCCGCAGGCTGGGGTGGGAGGGTCCCGTCTCTATGTCCCCAGTCTGCGGATCTCACAGTGAGTCCTGCTGGAACTGGGAGCTAGAGCAGGACATCAGCTGGGGGCCGGGGAATGGCAGGGCATGGACCCAAGGCCAGAGGAAGGGGTGCCCCTGCCTTGTCCCACCACGGAGAGGCACTCACTGCATCCATTAGGGTAAACTGCTCTGCCACCAGGTCGGGAGGGAAGGCCAAGAGGTGAGGCTTCTCATTCAGCCCATTTTCTGCAGCCACAGCTGAAGGCCAGGGAGGCTCGGGCGCTGGAGCTGTCTCTGGCTCTAGAGTTTGAGACAGAGATGGCTCGGGTTCTGGAGCGGGAGCCAGAGCCGCGTCTGCTTCTAGAGTGGGAGCCGGAGCTGCGTCTGGTTCTAGAGCAGGAGCTGGAGCTGCATCTGGCTCTGGAGTGGGAGCCGGAGCCGGAGCCGGAGCCAGAGCCACATCTGGTTCTAGAGCAGGAGCCGGAGCTGCGTCTGGCTCTAGAGTTCGTGCTGGAGCAGCGTCTGGCTCCGGAGTAGGCAGGAGAGTTGGTGCTAAAGCTGGCTCTAGTTCTGGAGCTGTTTCTGGAACTGGTGCTGGAGCTGGAGCAGGGGACAGAGCTACAGGAGGAGAGAAGTTTCCATGTCCCTTTGCAGACACAGAGCTCAGCCCAGGGCCTCCCAGAAAAGCCACACCCAGGAAGGAAGCCTCAGCGGGACGGCTCCCCGAGTGCGGTACACCCGCTGGGTGCTCTGAGCCCAGTCCCTGCACCTGGCCCCACAACAGCCTGTGGGGCTCATCCCTGTGGGGCCCAGCACCGACCCATCCCCACACACCCCCAGGCACCCAGCCCCGGCCTTCTCACCCTCAGGCTCCGCCTGCGCGGGCTCTGCACGCTCCAGCTGGGCCAGCAGAAGGTGGGCACGGCGCTCCAGGTCAGAGCCGGGCATGTTGAGCTGCACGTAGGCCACCAGCTGCTTGAGGCAGGGAAAGTCTGGGGGCTGACAGAAGTCCTCCGAGTACTGGTCCAGCCAGGTGCCCAGAATGGAGGAGATGGCACTGGAGGTAGGCGGGCAGGCGGCAGCGTCAGTGGTCTGGCCCTTCCTTCCACACGGCCCCCCGGGGCACCCCGGGGGATGCTCCATCCAGAGGCCGGGCCCACCCAGCTCACCCCCACGGGCCATCCAGGCAGGGGCAGGTCTGGCCAGCAGATGCGAGTCGGCAGTCTCCACAGGAGGGAGCCCTCCATCTCTGGTGTGAGCACCCCTGCCTTCCCCGGGGGGCCTGACCCACTCCTCTGTCTGGGGTCCCTCCTGCTGCACTGTAAACCCCAGGAAGGTGGGGAGGGGGCGCAGCGTCTGCTCTGTCCCAGCCCTGGGGCACACGGTAGGTACTGCAGCAGTCTGTGAGGGAGGAGGGAACAGGCAGTGTCCCTCTGCCCAGTCCTCCTGGGTTCTCATGGCCTTACAACCCCCAGCCCCTGCTCCGACGCCTGCCTGATCTCCTTCCAGGCACGTGGGGTCTCATCTTCTCACTGACACTATTCTTGGGAACTGCAGGAGGGTGGCTGGCCTGGGGCACTGAGGCGTGAGGCCCCCATGTGAGCCGGTGGCTCTGGGATCTCAGCAGAGCAGACAGGGCTGGGGCGGGCAGGGGTGGGGACACACGGCCTCAGGGCCCAACCCTGGCCTCCAGCCCCCAGCCTCTCCTCTGCCCCTCAGGTCCCGGGAGCCCAGCCACAACGGTCTGACTCCTGTCTTTCTGCAGGAGAGGCCCCCACACCGCAGCCCTCCAGCAGCAGTCACAGACGTGGGGGCCAGGGCTCTGCCCCACCAAAGCCCCAGATGTCCCCCACCTGGGAGACAGGGGACCTTCCCACCAGACCCAAAGTCCACTCACTTTTTTAATTGGTCCTGGGGGCCGCCGTCCTTGTCAGAGTAAGGGAGGATACATCCATATCTAGAGGAGGCCGTGAGGGCGTCACGTCTACCGTACCTGCTATGACGTCTAGGGTTACCGGCTGACCCCCCGACTACAGCAGAAGCCCAGGAGGGCAGGGAGGCCGGTCTGCCCGCTCGCGGAACTATGCAAAATGTCCAGCAGGGGCTTGGTGTCCAAGCGGGGAAGGGTTGCGGCCGAGACACCCTGCCCGGACTGGGGTGGGGAGCCGTGGGGAGGGACGGGGAGCTGCGGGGCGGGTCGGGGTGCCGCTCACCGTTTGAACAGAAGGTCCAGGACCTGCTGGGTGGTGGTGAAGGCCCGGTAGGTGCATAGGAAGATGGTGACGTAGGAGAGGTCACTGCCCTGGAAGGCGGGCACCAGGTGTTCCACCAGCTTCTCCAGCGTGCCTGCCTTCACCGTCCGCACCTTGCAGGTCTCATACAGGCTCAGGGCAGACTCGTTTTCACACTGGGGTGAGGTGGAACGAAGGAGGGGTGTGATCAGCGGCAGCGCCTGGGGCCGCCAGGAGGGTGGGGGCCCGGCTCCGATGACGTCCCAAGGGCACAGGGATGTGAGGCCGGAGAGAAGACACGCGTTGCCCCAAGCTGAGAAACAAGCTCAGCTTTAGAAGCGGAATCTGAGGGGCGCCCTGGGGGGCTCAGGTCACGATCCCAAGATCCTGGGATCGAGCTCCGCATCGGGCTCCCAGCTCGGTGGGGAGCCTGCTTCTCCCTCTCCCACTGCCCCTGCTTGCGTTCCCTCTCTCCCGCTCTCTCTCTCTCTGTGAAATAAATAAATAAAACCTTCAAACAAACAGACAAACAGAGAATTTGATATGGGGACTAACAAGGCATGCAGACACAACCCTTCGGGGTCAGCCTGTTGGCTGGAGGCGGAAAAGCACGACCCCCATGAGGTCTGGCAAAACACGCTCTTCCTTGAGATGAGAAGACAGAGGCTCCTCCTGGGAAGGGAAGGTCCGCAGGGATCGGTGCAGCCCGGGCCCATGGCATGAAGGGCTGAATCACCCCGACGATGGGCCTCCCTTCTGGAACGGTATGTGGCCCAGTCAGGCCCTCCGAGCCGGAGGGTCACGTGGCTGTGCTGGGGGGCTGGTACCGAAACCTAGAGGAGCTCAAGCCTCCCTGCCTTTGGGGGAAACCGGCCCCTCCCAGTGGTGACGCGGAAGGCGGGGCTGCCAACCACTGGGACGATGGACTGGGGTGCAAACACAAAATCCTGGGGCCCAGTGTCAAGGGGAAGCCGTAAGAAGGTGTCTTTTTAGATGTTCACGCAGGTGTGGATGAACTTTTCTTTGTAGAGAGAGAGCGTCTGCACGTGCACAGGAGGGGCAGAGGGAACGCGAGCGCACCTCAGCAGGCTCCACGCACAATGCGGGGCCGACGCTGGGCTTGATCTCACAACCCTGAGATCGGGACCTGAGCCGAAATCAAGAGTCAGACGCTCAGCGACTCAGCCTCCCAGGTGTCCCATGCAGAGTGACCCTGCTCCTGCCTAAGCCCAGAGCTGGGCAGAGGGGAGGGCGTGGAGGCCCAGGCTCCTTTGGGAGCGGGACGGTGGGTTCCTGGGGGTAGGAGCCCCACGGCCGCACTCACCCCAAGCCAGCGCTGGCCTTTGTTGGCCCCGGGCTGGGCCTGCACCTTCCGCAGGGAGATGGAGTAGATGACACCGTTGAGCAGCTCCTCACCGATCTCCTGCGTGCAGCTCTGGAGAGACGGGGTGGGGCCGTCAGGGGCTGCCCCCGTGAGCCTTCCAGTCCCCAGCCAAGGCACGGCATCCACACCCCCCCCACCCCCGCCCTGCCCCGGCCTGGCCCCTGGCAGGGTTGCAGTGGCCTGGCAGCTCCAGGGCTCACTGGAGGCCCCCAGCCCCACCCCTTCCCACCCCATCAGCCGCCAGCCCTCCAGGCCCCGGAAACCCCCAGCAACATGCTCATGGCCAGGGTCACCCCCTCTGCCCACAAGAGGGGTACTGCCTTCCAGCCGTGTCACAGATGAGGACGTGGACGCTGGGAGAGGGGCAACATGTCCAAAGACACATCGCTGTGGGTGGATGACAGACCAGGACCCCCAAGGCCCTCGTCCCTGCTCCCCAGCTGACTCAGCAGGCATGGGCAGCTCCTCCCAGCCCAGCCCTGGAGTCAGCATCACGCGTCAGGGGCAGGCATAGGGCATCCCCGATGGCCACATCCAAGGCCACTTCCTTCCCTTTCTGCTCATTCATGCCCTTGTGCCTTCTTGGGCAACAGAGGAGATCCTGGTTTCCCGTCCAGCATCATGTGCGTGGGGACAGCGGGCAAACAGTGACGGTGCAGTGTCTGGGCAGATGACTGGGGTTTCACTGGACCCTAAACCACGGGACTTTGCCTGGGACAGGAAGTAAAGGCCCTTGTTTTAGGTGTCAGCGAACCCTCCCACTGGGCAGGCTGGCCTGGGGCCGTAATCTCCAAGCCCCATTGCCTGTCTGCGCCCCCACGGCGGGGGGGTGCTGCAGTAGGGAGGGTGGCCTCTGAGGGTTGAGGGAGGAGCTGTGCCAGCTGGCACAGGGCCCTTGATCACACAATCCATACCAGTGGCTGGGACCGCGCATCACTGCCCTAACCCAAGGTGGGTGTGAAGCTTACGGGAGACGCGGGCAAAGGTGCTGACTCAGCCCACCCACAGCCTTCCCTGAAGTCCGCCGCCTTGGCAGGGCCCCTGCTGCACCTCTGGGGTCGGCGACGGGGTACTGGGGCCTCTCGCCTCCTGCAGCCCCTGTGAGCCGCAGGAGGCCAGCCGCCCTCGGGAAGACCACTTCCTCTGACCTGTGGCCGCCCTCCCACGCTCGGTACTGGACCAACGGGGAAGCCGCTGCCATCACATTCTCTCTGGAGAGAGTGCCAGCCTGTCTGTGGAGAGTTAGCAGGGGACTGGCAGAGGTCCCCCGAGTGCCACCTCCCACACCCACACCCCTCCGATGACCCAGCCCCTCCACTGGACCGGGGAGACTCCTCCTGAGCAGAAAAGCTGAGACAGAAGCTCACGTTCCCTCCCCTGTCTGGAAGAGCCCTCAGAGCACGAAGGCTGCAGAGACCAGCTGTCCCCCTGCTGGATGGGGGGCTACCACCCTGGCATGTCCTCAGGGGTCTGAGCCTACTTCCTGAGGAGGCCGAGCCCGGCCTTCTCCACGGTTATTTTAGCCACATGTGGCCCAGCTGGGAGGAACACCCCGCTTGTGGGCAGTGAGCTGGGAGGCCCCGTGCAGGACCGGTGGGTCCGCCAGAGGGCCCTGCACCTGAACTCCACAGGGCACCTGGCTCCCAGTGGGGGTCCATCAAGGCTTCTGGGTGCTGCGGGCAGGCAGTGGCCATCCCCGGCAAGTCCAGAGAGCAGCACCCCCCACCCCTGCAGTGAGCCCTGGGCCTCTCCGGCAGAGCAGCTGGCCTGCGCAGTACGTGGTCCCCAAGCCCCTCCCCTGCCCCCACCCCCAGGGGCCCACTTCTGCCGACTGGTGGGGAGGGCGGGGCGGGATGCCCGGAGTCACACTGGCTGAGACGCGGGAGTCATCGCCCTGTCACACAGATGGGGGGCTGCTCTGGCTCCTTCGGGCAGCCGCAGCCACGCAGGAAGAAAGCAGACCCCCAGAGCCGGGTGCAGGAGCCCGTGACCACCTCCCGCGAGGCGGCAGAGGGGCAGGCTCTGAAGCAAAGGGCCCGGGGGGGGGGGGGCGGGCCAGGAAGTGGCAGAGCAGGGCATTTGTTTCCTACTCCTCCCCGCTTCCAGGGACAGAGAGGGAAAGCAGCTAACGCCAGGCATCTGTCCCCCCCAGGGCCCCCCGCAGCAAGATGTGCAGAGCCCTGTGCCTGTAGGCAATCCTGGGCCACCCTGCAAGCAGAGGGCAGCGCACGCAGGCCCACGTAGCGGGTGCTCTGGCGGGGCGAGGGGGGTGCTCCTGGGGAAGGATGGGCGTGGTTGACCAGACAGATGGCCTCAGGGAGGCCTCTTCAGGGCAGGAGGGTGCTCGGCTGACTTCTGGGGGAACAGAACGCCACAGGGATGGCTGTGTCCTTGGGGAGCCAATGTCCCCAGGGCCCTGGGATCCAGTGGCAGCTGGGCCTTGCACATGCTGCCTGGCCTTCCCCGGCTTGGGTCAAGGGGAGTGTGGGTGGGGCAGTGCCCCCAGACCCTGGTGAGCAGACGCCAACAGAATAGGCACCCATGTGCCCCACACCCCACTGTCCCTCTGAGTGCAGCCCAGAGCCCCAGGGACAAGAAGAAGGAGAAACTACTTGGGTGTCACCCGATCAGCCTTCTCAGGGTGACAGGCCAGCAGCATGCCTGTCCCCAAGTGACTGCAGGCCAGGCCCCATCCCACCCCCATTTTGGGACAGACCCGAGGGGCCCTGCTGGCTCTTCCCCAGCCCTGCCAACTCTCCCAGAAGGCGGCTCGTGCCTGTGTGTAGGGAGATGGCAATGTCACTCTCATCCCCGCTCTGCTCCCCTGGGTGTGGATTTCCTTATAGTGATGGCTGTAAGGGGCCTCCAGACCCCCCAGATGCCTCCTCCGCAGACCAGCTCCTCCTACAGAGGCCCAGTCCAGGGCTGAGACACCCAGAGAAGAAGGGCTCAAGCCTGCACCACGGGGTCCTCCTGTCTCTTTAGGCCACGTGCGGAGACCTGGTCCCACTTGGGCAGGGCAGGGGTGGCTCAGACCACAGGGAGGAGCTTGCGCCTGCCTGAGATGAGGTCCTTCATGTACCCTGCTGAGCTGCCACCCAGGGCCACAGAGTCACAGATGCCACCCCAGGCCCTCTCCTGGGCACTGGTCGGCACCCTGCAGGCCCAGGCACATGAGGACCCTCCGTGGGGCCCACCAGACCCCAGGATACAGTCTTTCATGAAGAGCTCTGACTTCCAGCTTTGCCGAGCCTCTCTGGCCCTGGCCTCAGTGAGCTCATCCAGGAAATGGGAAGAAGAGCAGCAGCTCTCTACAGGGCAACAGTGGGGTCCAGAGACAGTGCGCAGCACGTGGCACGTGACACACCCTGGAAACGGGAACAAAGGATACTGGGCACCACCTGCTGACCACAGCCCCACAGAGCTGCTGACAGACACTTACCGGGGAAACCCTGAGGGCCCCCGTGGGAGCCTCCAGGACAGCCGCTACAGAAAGGGCAGGAGTCCTAAACTGCCCAAGCCAGCCCTGCAGCTTTCCGACTTGGCCTTTTGCTCACGTGCAGGAGTGGCGATGGGAGATGGACAGAGGGCCTGGTCAGCCCTCCTGGGATCCCAGGCTCCCGGACTGTTCAGACAAGGCATCCTGCAAACACTCGTGGAATGGAGACCAAGGCCGCGGGCAGCGGGGCTGGGCTGAGGAGAGAACCCAGGACTTCTCAAGTCTAAGTCCTGGTTCATTTCTTGGACCATAAGCTCCAACAAGTTGGGGAGAAGGAAAAGCCTCCTGGTGTGCAGCAGGGCCCCACCCCTACGCTCTGGTGGGTGTCCTGTTACCTGAGTCCGAGGACATGGACAGGACCAAGTGGGGACCCCAGGTCAGCCCTGGATGGGGGTGAGCCACACTCCTGGCCCCACGCGCTGCATCCCATAGGGGCAGCCTGGGCTGGGGACTCTACAGGGACTGGCTTGTACAGGGCACCCCGGAAGCTCAGTGACCCCAGACACTGGAGTTTGGTGACCAGCTTCACTGAGCCCCCCAGAGGCTGTCCCCAAGGACACAAGCCCCAAGGACCCCCCCCCAGCCTGAGCTCAGTTACTCATCAGCATGTACAGAGAAGAAAGGGAGGATGCCTCAAGTGCAGGAGGGCGGGGGGAGGGACTTCCACGCTGGCCGTGCCCACTGCCTGTCCTCTTGTCCATCCAAGGCCAGCTCCTGGCTGTCAGGCTAGCAGGCCACCCCACGTCAGGCCATTGAGGGAGTGCAGCTGGTGACAGCTGAGGAGGAGGGTGGCCTGGGTCCATAGAGGGTGCGGGGCAGGGCCAGCTGAATGTCTAGCCCCAAGAGCCACACGCAAGCGTCCACCACCAACCACAGAGTCCAAGGTCTGTGGGTACTTCCTGGGGACCAGGCTTTTTACAGACTTGTCACGTTTACTTGATGGGTGAGGGAGGAGTCGGGTGGGGAACTCGCTCAGGTCAGGAGCCAGGAAGTGGCAGCCAGGGCCCGGATTTTAACCGTGGCCCATGAACCTCGTCCCATCTAGGCCTGGCCGCTGCCGTGCTCCACTGTGGCTGCCGCACTCAGGCTCAGAGCAGAGGATAGAGGTGGGAGGACCTTCCTCAGGTGACACTGCTGGTTGGCAATGGCGGGGCCCAGCTTCCTTGTACCCGGCACCCTTCCACAGAATGGCTGGTTTGCTGGGGTTCCAGCTGCGGGCCTTGAGGTTCAACTAAGGGAACCGGGCCTGAGAAGCGCCAGGCCAACTGTGCCCCCAAAGCCCAGGGCATGGACACTGCCCTGGCACCTTGTCAGAAAACACAATCATGGCAGCTGCCACCTGTCTGGCTTGGACACTGTGCCAGGCAGGCACTGTGGGACCACTTGTCAGGCTGCCAGGCTCCCTTGGTCCTCACCTCAATCCTAGGGGAGAAACTGGTATCAGGTCCATTTTATAGATGAGGATAAGTGAGGCTCCAGGAGTGGGAGCAGGTCCAGGGCTGCAAGGTGCCCAGCTGGCCTTCCCCTGCAGCTCCCTCTCCTCTCCAACTTC